GAAATGAGGGTGGGATGGGGGAGATGAGGGTTGGATGGGGGAAATGAGGGAGGGATAGGGGAGATGAGGGTTGGATGGGGGAAATGAGGGAGGGATAGGGGAGATGAAGGTGGTATGGAGGAGATGAGGGTGGGATACAGATTTTCAGGGAATGTCAAGGGGAGATCATTGCAATTGATAGATGAAGGTGGGAGAGATTTTACCAACCTCGTTCCCAGGGTATTTGCTCTTGGGAACGAGGTTGAGGTTTTACTACAGGAGGAAGTAATTTTCCATCAAGGGAGTGGAAGAGGGGGTGGGGGTATAGATTTCCTCAAAGAAAGGCATTTTTTATATGCCCAGGAGGAAGTTTAGATTTTTCATTGGAGGAGTGGGAGAAACTCTTCTTTGGAAAGAGAACAGATCTTGTGGGGTCAGGGAGAGAAAAGTTTTCATTTTGCAAATTTTATTCCAGTGAATTTCATTAAAGCAATCAACTTACCATCCAGTAGCAAAGCACTCAAATGTCACTTCTTCTTTACTTCTAACACGTCTGTCCTTTGGACCCAACATAACTGTACCATAGACATCAGTGGTTTGCAAACTTCCTACAAGTAAAATATATCATTTATATTAACACCTAACACTTTTCCTTTGACAAGTAAAATCATCTCATGTTGGACAGACTGTGTGATAGTTAAATGAGGACATGCGCTAGCTCTATTATAGATAAAGATGAAACCTGAGAACAATAAGAAATCTACAGTATTTGGTAAAGTCAAACTGAAAGAACTCTTAATCTGAGACAAAACAATTTTGACCAGATTGCGTATTGTAGGAATCACACCACCTGGGTCATGGAGTACTCCCCCGGAAAATTTTTAAAATTTGGGTCTCTGAAATGGCATTTCCACCATTCTGAGAAAACATTCTGGAAAATTTTTAGATTCTCAAAACATTTAAAAATTCAGAATATGTAATATTGGCTATTCCACTATTGTCAACTGGTGATACCCAACTGAATTCCTTAACATAAGTTGGTTAGAATTAGGATAAACGTCATTTTTGCACACACCCCCATGCACCCCTGTTGACCAGAGCCTAGGGGGTGTGCACCCCCCCCCCCCTAAATCCACCACTGGGTTCATTTACAATATTCATCTACACTAATTATTCAATGCTATAATAAAAGAACATACTAGCAACTTGCAAATTTATTGACTCTCTTTGCTGTCTCAATGAGCCTAGTTGCATTTCAAACGAATATTTCCCTGCATCGTTTAGACTTAATTGTGCAATGTACAGGTTGCCGTCCTCGGAAATACTGATACGCTTTGATTCTTGCAATGTCCGTCCATTAAATTTCCAGATAAATGTTGGCTTGGGATATTTTGAATGTTTGTAGCCAGTGTAGATGTATTTCCAGCCTTGATACTGAATCCCACTCATTGTCACATCGTTCTTTTTTATACCACTGGTATCTGAAAATTAAAGTTTGGACCACATCTCAAGTGATTGCATTGAAGGTTGTATACTAGGGCCGCTGCCACAGGGGGGAGGCAAGGCAGGGTGTGGGGGGTGGTCAGAAACTATTGGTCAGAAAAAACTCTTAGCTTTGTGTAGTAAAGTGCATAAAAGAGAAGCATAAAGTATTTTGTACTTACATGCAAGTTGCAATTCAGCCATGTTTGACAAAAGTGACCAGGTATTGTCAGTTATCAAACATCGATAAAACCCATCATCTCTAGTATAATCCGAGGGATTTATTGTCAAATCTCCTGCAATTGTCGCTATAATTGGTGATGAGTCAGCCTTCAGTAGCGCTCCATCTTTATACCACTTGAAATGAACCCGACGATTATCCTGGCTACCACCAACGCAAGCTAAGGTGACAGACCCTGTGTCAATGGCTACACCAGGGTAGTCTGGTAACGCTGGTTTATTACTGAAGAATAATGCTGGGTGGAGACCTAGGAAGATTAATGATCGTCAATATATTAGGCTAACAAACATGTCAGGATTTCAAAGCTGTAGTTAGCTTAAACCTTAGAGATGTGCTGGATCCGGATACCGGTATCCGGTAAAATTTAGACATCCGGCACTATCCGGTATAAATTTGCCAGATATTTACCGGATAGTACTGTAAGATATTTTGTTACAACCATGAAACGGGAAAGTTTACTGGGCGTTTAAAAATTGTGAAACACAAACAATTACTGAGCGTGCACTGCATTACAACGAAATTACGACATATTTTTTTCGTGATACTGAATACCAGTAAACTGATGTAAGGTGAATCATAAGATATGGCCTTGCAAGGTAAAGACAAATAGGTCAAAGAGACAAAAAATGTGTATTACTGTCGTTCCAATTGAAGTGTTGCTCAAATATTGATTCAATACATTACCTTGGGCTGACCAATTCATTTCATCAAGTTCCTCGAGATATTCATACACTTCCTAGTATAATTGTAAACTTACTGTTGAATAGTTTGAATGCACCAATCACCTTTGTTGTTTGTGCAACTAACCAGAAAGGAAGTGACCAGAAATGATCAATTAAACTTGGAATTGGCTCTTTCACAGGAAGTGTATGAATATCTCGAGGAACTTGATAAAATGAATTGGTCAGCCCAAGGTAATGTATTGAATCAATATTTGAGCAACACTTCAATTGGAACGACAGTAAACACATTGCTACATTGGACTAGTTAGTTATAAAAATGTTGTGTTTCTAATAAATTATTGTATGGGAGTATCTGGTTATTATCTGGTATCCAGTTATTATCCGGTATCCGGTCATCATTTTCTCCTGACCGGTATCCGGTAGACTACTATCCGGTATCCGGCAAAACAGTATCCGGCACATCCCTATTAAACCTACTATTCAAAGCAGATTTCCCAACAGTTTTTTTTTAACTTAATAGAAATATTCTTCAGAAATTTTGTCAGGACCAACAGGAGTATCTTTTCTGAAGTTTTGAAATAAACAAACATGTGGAAATACACAAACTAAAACAGCGACTCAATTTTAACCCAGGATTTGCACTAATCCAGCTTTGAACAACCATCTCCTGGGGCTAAACTGGAAATAATTAGTACTGTTGTTACTAAATACTCTCAACTGTCAGCAATTCAGAACTTATCTGTCATGTGATCTATATCAAAACACAGCTTAAACCAATATTTATTTGTAAAACATGTTAGTAACAATTAATTATAAATATCACATTTAAATATAGGACAGATAGATTTTCTCACAAAAAAACTTTGAAAAAACCTTTATTTTTGCATTGTTTTTCTACTATATAAACAGCCAAGGGAACAGTAATGTAATCATGCAAGATTATAAATGATAGCAAGAGTTTGGTCAGATACAAATCTTCAACGCACAATACTGTATATCAACGTGAAATATATTTTCAAACGGCATATAAAGCTGCCTCTATTAACTTTATTTCTCCCCTATAAGCACTTAAGCACTTACAAGCAAACGAAAATGAAATAGTGCACAACTTAGAATATTACAAGGTCAATTGACGAGCTACAATATCTTTGAATGTCTCTCCCTAGGACACTAACATCGTCACTACCTTTAATTAAATATGAAAATATATCAGACGTTGACAGCATTCAAAAGAGAAATCACTATTGATAAAAGGTTTAAACTGCCTGTACCAAACAAAGCGAGACTTCCCGAATTTGATTTTATAAAACCACTTATTAAACAGACTAAAAAATATCGAGGGCAAATATCGCGTTACAATAACAATAGCTTTTATCCGCGAAATATAATCTTTCGTCAGGCCTTCGTCACTTCATAAATACTTTGACAAGACCCAGTTTCACTGTATGCGAAATGTACAAAGACATTTACCCTATACTTTCAGACACTTCAGCGTGAGTTCAAACGTTATCAAACAGTATTAAACGAAGTGTAAAAGACAAGATTTTTTCCCACAGAAATCCGCTTGCCTTACTTCGTGAGTTTATATAGGTTAATAGCGTCTCAAAACACGTAATAAAAATACACAACAGACAAATCACAACATTTAAAGATGTGTATTAAAGCGTATTTTCCCCTCTGCTTTAATATATTGGTCGTGGACATATTTATATCCCCTATATAAAACCACTTTATTTATTATTGATACCCAGGAAATTCGCCATAACATTATCCTTTCTAAACTCTACTGAATTGCTAAGAAATACTCACGTTTTGGTGTTTGAGTCGGGTCTTGACTGGAACATACGAAAATCAAACACGAAAATATTGCCAAGAATTTAAGCGCCATCATTTTTTTAACACCAGTTTATACCGAAGTGGAGTCGTTGCTCTTTATAATTATTCCGATTATTCCCTGTTAAATTGTTGTGAAAACCAACAGCGTTGGACGTGGTTGGACTAACCACAAGCCGATAAAATCTTCACGAAACACAAGCGAGGTTCAGTAGTTGTGTCCTAAGACATTGTTGAAAGTAGCGACTTCGCCGACTTGCAACTGGTGTGAAACAACTCGTTTAAAACGACAGCAAAAAATCCACAAAGATCTCTCAAAGCAAAAAGTCGAATAGCGTAATTACATAAGCAGGAATGTAGAAATGCAAATGAGTTTGGCAACGATTTCATTCGGAAAATAAAGATTAAATTTCGGGCAGTGCTTTCCTGCTACTTGTAACTTGTTTTCAAGCAGTGAGATAAATCGTGCCGTTCTTCACTTTCATTGGTTCTAATTTAATAATTAACTCTCATTTCCGGTTTTTGCAATTTCTCAAAATTGCTGATTCAGCTTCTTTACTTCTGGACTAAATATATGAACTGGACCTTTTCCTGATAGGGAGGCATTTTAATGAGACAATTTAAATACAATCCAATATTGTAATACAATGTAAGGGCTAGATATTCAGACTGCATATAAATTGGTCATTAAAATGCAAATTGCCCCAAGTCAACTTTGGCTAGGCCACTTTTGCTATTGTTTAATTTACAATTTTAGATAACTCACATGCCTAATTATCATTGTTCTAGAAAACAGAAGCATAAAATAGAACAAAGGTAATCAAGTTTTTGAATTATCGACATTAGTGAATAACTCTTATACATAACATTTCTTTTGTTCTATTCTGTGCTTCTGTAAACAGGGCCCGCGGAGCGTATTAGAGAGTGGGGGGGGGGGCTAAAGGGTGAGGTTTAATTAATTTAGAAAGTTTCATTTAGATTTCTATTTTAATAATTTTGGCTGTCAAAAAAAGTGGGGGGGCTAAAGCCCCCCCAGCCCCCCCGTCTCCGCGGTCCCTGGTAAACAGGAACAAGAACTAGGCATGTGAGTTATTTAAAGTGTGAATTGGGTAGCCAAATTTGTCTATCAGGCCACATAAAAAAAAATAGTTGGTTAGCGTCCATAACTTTTGCCAAAAAGTGGGGGGCGGACTTTTTTTTTTAATTTATACTAATTTTTAACGCCTTGGTTTTAGGTCTGAAATTGGATTTTCTTGCGCAGTACTGCAGATATTTCTTGAATTTTTCTTATATATTTCAGAATATGATTCATACCGTCATTTTCGCAACTATATCTTGCAGTTAAACACAATTGACTACAGAAATACTACATATATTAAAGCCTGTTGGTTAATAAAAGTTGGGTTTTTTTAAATAAAAAATAATCCTGAGGGGAACCTTTTTTGTGGGCGGGCGAGGACGCTAACCAACTATTTTTTTATGTGGCCTTATAATATTATTTAACCTCTAATCTATTATGTCCAAACTTTAGTGCAAAATGCAATTTTGTCATTTATTTACACAATATATTTATCTTCAAAGAATACACAGTTATGTAGCAGCAGTATTTATCCTGACCAACTGTGATATAATCTCTAACTTTACTATACATCCAAACATCTCTGATAGCAATCTTTCACAAAAGCCAACAAGAAAATATGTTTTTATTGAGTCTTGTTGTCCTGCTGCATAAAAGGTAATGATAATCTGATTATCTCGTCTTTTTATAACAATGTCTGACACCAAGAGTTCGTAGAACACTCCTTCGATAAACTTTCTTATCATGATATCATCCATTAATCTTGCAGATGCTTCTGAACTTCCAGCCAAACTCCCTGAAACAATGGAAACAAATTTGGTTAGATGCCAAATCATAATTGATAGTAAAAACACAAATCAAAAGCGTACCAGTATGCCAGGAGTCCCATGCTTTCGTCACACCAATTCTATACCCAGGAACTTCGGCTGCCTTGCGTTTTAACTTTGATTTTGGCTGATATGCAAATCTAACTCCAAACAGACTCAATTCTGTCGTCTGTGTTTTTAAACTTGGATAACAACTGCAACATACTCTGTTTAAAAATTCTCTGTGAAATGTACTTCTTATTGCCTGTGAAATAGTACAAGAATTTGGTTAATTGTTCAGAGCCTACTTTCTCTCAAAGGTCCTTTACCACCATCCCTGTTAAGGGGATAAAATGACGTGGGACGGCAGTTAAAACAAGAATGTGCACGGGGTAACTTTCGGTGAGTATTACATATTTCAGTGTGGACCCCACAGCCCACACCAAATTCTACTATTAATGTGTTCAATTATTTTTTTACTCTTTTTAGGCAACATTCTGCACCCACTGCAACTTATTTTAATTACCCGAGATTATTACAGTAAATTACAATAGTAAAAACATAATATTTCAACGTTTATAAAGCAAAAAACCTTACCGGTAAATTTAAAGCACTCTTGAACGCCATATTGTCCGCGCACATCAAGAACCTGGCACTAGTCTTCTATTCAACACAGCAACCCATGTCAAATATTTGTAAAGTACAATTTTTGAAACTTTATACGAAATACTCGAAAACCAATGTCTAAAACATTCTGAAGGTCACAAGATGTCTTTTTTCATGAGATTTAGGTTTAAATTAAGCTGTTACACTTTGTCTTACAGTGAAAATACAAAAAGTGTCCCACTTCCGCTTCTGTAGTTTGTTGTGATTTACTGTAATTTGTTCTGTTTTTCTGTAGCGATTACCGATTTATCGGCAAATACCGCGATAAAACTTAGTTTTCTCTACTTTTTAAATATGATAATTTGTAGCAAAGGGAAATAATACATTTTTCGTTAGTTTCATTGCATAAAAGTACGAAATTTAAATTTTATCGCAGTATTTGCCGATAAATCGGTAATCGCTACAGAAAAACAGAACAAATTACAGTAAATCACAACAAACTACAGAAGCGGAAGTGGGACACTTTTTGTATTTTCACTGTAATTGCTCAAAAAAGTGAATAAATCGATATTTTCTAGATATTTTCGCTAAAAAATATTGCCTTAGCAACAAGAAACCTTAGCAACGTCTAAAAACAAACATGGCGGCTGTTTCCAGCCCAGATTCATTAATTTTTAACGAAATGTCAGAAATAAAAAGCGATACACAGGCCAAACCACAACAAAACATTTACGAAAACATTTCTTTAGATGACTACGATGCCTCAAAGTTAACTCCAGTTTTTTACGGCTGGTTTCCTCGGAAAATGAGCGAAATTTTAGTCACAGACAATGACCACATCTCAAGCGGATCTCAAATGAAGTTAAATTGGGCAAACATGGAGAATGAAAATAGTGAAAAAAGTGACAATGTTTGTGAGTTTGATGCAGCTATTGCTCATCCTGCAACGTTTGGATATATATTACTGGATAAAAAACCAGTGGTAGAGGAGAACGTGGAATGTGAAATTCCGATACCCGATCCGTTGAAATGCAGTCCACGCGAATATTGTGAGTTTTATATCTTCCCACTTCTCTTGCCTGCCCTGGAGAAAATGTTGATTGAAGCCAAGGCAAATAAAGTGTTTGAGGTACAAGGAATAATATATTTCTGCTGTTCCAGTCCAGGTTCTTTCTCGTAGTAACCAGTTGCACTGCCAAGGGGGTGATGGGGTGGCCTGCCCTCCTATTTATTTCTAATTAATTGAATGCATAAATTAAAGTCATGGACACTATGCTAACTATACGTGTTGTTTTTAGAAAAGACGGACAAAGTTCAATGCCTGTGACTTTCTGACAAGTTATTTATACAGGTTGGCGACGATTGAGATTGTTTAAGTATAAACTTATACAATGTGATTTTAATGTTAACCATCTGTTTATCCATCTAGTCACAATCCAAATTTTAATGACAGAGAAGGAATTGAATTGGAGGAAATACCTTTTGTACAAGAAATTTTGGCAATCAAGTACGAATCCCTTGCTATATTAAAATGAACATACTAGAAAATGGTTCAGACTATTCTAAAACCAACATTTCCTTTGGCCTCAAAGCTACTAATCCTGCTAATTGCTTTTCAACATCTACATAAAGGTTTAAAGTGCCCCTCCCAGAAAGCTTGCCCCTCTTAGGTCAAGAACATGGTGAAACTGTGCTCCTGTGTGCATGTATAAATATTGATTAAACCATTATAATAAATGTACTTGCTTTCTTCACAGCCCTCGCCCACCAATACCACTCTCGCTTCTTCTTTCTGATGACGACGCAGCAACAATCATTCAATCATTTTATAAAGGATATAAAGTAAGTATAAAATCTACTATCCAAATCTTACTTTGAGTGGCAATTTATAAACATTTATTAGGTCTAAAAATGGTCTAATAAATGTTTATACATTTCCACTCAATAATTTCCATCTACTGTACAATAATTCCCTTCAACTACTATTCGATGCCAAGAAAATCTTGATATTTACCCATAACCTACACATGGCAGTACCCTAATATGTATATACATGAACTTGTGGTCAGAGCTCGATAACTGGCCTCTGTAGCTCAGTTGGTTACAGGGATGCCAGAAGTTGCTGAGGGCAAGGGGTGCAATTGGTTAACAAGAGGGCATACGCCTTAATAAAAGGGCACCAATGAAAATGAAAGGGCGTCATGATCCTACATTCGTGTCGACCTCCCTCCCCGTCACCAAATTTTTTCGGACCGAATACAATTATTTAGGCACAATTCCTCCGTAATTTCTCGCCAAAAATTCCATAAGTAATGCTTTCCGTTTCACCTTTCGCCAAATGGATAACAATTTTGCCGAATTCCTGATGACTGCATGGGGGGTGAAACACCCCCACACACATCCTCGAAAGACGTTTAATTCTGTCTGTTGCAAAAGTTTTGTGCACCCGTTACACCCATAGTCTGCACCCGCACTGCACCCACAAAGTTGAAAATGCAAAAGGCAAGGGGTGCACTTGCACCCGTGGTTCCGGCATCCCTGGTTGGTTAGGTGCTGCACCGGAATCGCAGGGCCGCAGGTTCAATTCCTACCGGGACCTAAGGTCGAATAAATGTATATAAATTTCCACTCAATAATTTCCATCTCCAACACCCTTCAACTATTATACATGATTACAATATTAGGTTCGAAAAGAGCCAGAAGTGCAAGAACTAAGACAATATCAGAGAGATATGAGAGAGGTACGCCATTAAATATTCAATTAGTTCAGACGGTTTGTACAAATTATACGTCTTTTCTAATCAAAGAAAAAATTGATGAATGGTTATAACTGACTATAATGATTACATAAATTATTTTCTCCTTAGGAAGAATGTGAAATCAATTTCAAAGTTGAAGATTTCTGGCGTAAACACTCAATGCACGAGGACAATTGATAAAATAGTTATTTGTGTTCATATTTATTATTTTAATGTATAGACTGTAGTATGTTTGAGAAATACAAATTATATTTAAATAATCCATGTATTCTTGTAGTTCCTTGTACGTTTTGATTCAAAACTTTTTTACATACAACCAGTAACAATTATTCATCTCAGCTGTTCAGAGATTTTAGCAAGAATGACATTGTTATGTCCCTTTCAACAACTTGCCATCTGTTGCATATTGTGGACAGTTTAGTTGACTTTTTGTTGATAACTACTAAAGCAATGCACCAATGCAATGTAATAAAACATTTATGTATGCTTCGTACTATAATTGTCATTTTTGTTGAAGTCTGATATCTTCTGCCTTAATGGACAGTATTTACAACACACAGGCTTCAACAATTTTCTAGTAGTCTGTACCTTTCACAACCAATCCAGTATGCACCAGACAAACTGTTTACTATACTTTCAGTAGATCTGCTTTTGACTTGGTACACTATAAAAACAAGAAATTGAAGTGATTGAGAAATGAAACATAGCCAGTCAAGTAACAGCAATCTCAACCAATCAAGACATGGTACCTTGTTTGCATAATGGCCTTTTTCACCACACTAGAACACAAATAAATTTGGGCACTGAATTTTACTAAAGCCACCACAAGTCACAGAACAAATGACAGCATTATAATTCCAGCATTGGAAGACACATTAGAACACAGGGTGTTAGCCAGAAGTAAAAAAAAATATGCAATAAGGCCTATTGAAAAAATATTTCTGTTTTTCATCGCCGCTAGCCTGTGCACATCCTGTATTACCCTGTACTACAGTAATACTGTAGTACAGGGTAATACAGGATGTGCACAGGCTACATCGCCGCCTGCCCCTGAAAATTTGGCTGCCCGAAATTTTTTTTAAAATATTCTCGGTTTTTGTCAGGAGCCGTCGGAAAATAATCGGATACCGAGCAGTGGGCGCCATGATGCACTGTCCTTTTTGATATTTTCATAATACTTTCATAATAAGTCAAGCATGCCATTTATTGTTACGCAAATTAGATCTGGTGCGCAGGTTTTGAAGCCCTGGATAGGCGCAAGAGTGGCAGATAATGCTATACTCTGAACAATGATAAAAAGAAAAAAATGAGTATAAAAAGAAAAAAAATTCTGCCCGCCTGCCCCAATTCTATTCCAAACAAATGATGAAAAAAAGAAATATTATTTTAATAAGCCTTACCTGAAAAATTGGGAAATTTATTTTAGCCTGAAGCTGGGCATTTCTTAGTCTCCTACGCATACCTACTTAGCGGGCTGAGCCCTCACGTAAGGTATGCTTACTTTGGCCAAGAATTCCTTTCCTCAAAATTAGCCAATCACAGCTTTACCCACGAAAATTGTGGGGCTTGAGACCTTTGACCTTGAGTTGTCCAAAACATTTTGAACATTTTGAACAATTTTGAACATTTCATATCTACATTTGTACGTATTCATATCTTAAACCGATTATCTGCGAGAGCTGAGAGATTTGTGATTTGTTATACATATATACCAGTCTACAAATTTACAATATGGAATTTGTTAGAATTGAAATACAGAAATACTGTTAGAATTTATCGAGCTATTGTTTTGAACAGACAGACTAGACAGTGTAGTATTAAAACTCGAACAATATCACCTAAAATATTTCGCGATGTTTTTATTACTTTACAAGCGTTTGCAGGTGTTACTGTGACACGGTTAATATACTGGACAAAGACGTCAAGACAAAGTTATAAAGTTACAGTGTACATTTTAATACTGCAGGTGTAGATCATAGATTTATAAATACTAATTGCATGAAAATTTATAATACAGAATCCAGCCTATATAAAATACTGAATTGATTCATTGCACATTTCGGTTTCTAAGTTTGTATATGACTAGCCAGTTTATAAAGTTTAATAAAATCGTAATTACAAAAGTCGCTCTGATATTGAACGTTCGGAAACTTATAGTATACAATATAATATATTGAATATACATGCCGTCACGCAGTCGCGTCAAGTTCAAAACAATTATTACCAGTGAATAGTTTTATATACATTTAAGCCTTCGACCTATCGCGTACATTCGTTGGAAATATATTCAATATTTTCTACTTCGACTGCTATTGATAAAAAAAACTCGATCTGTTCACATTTATGGCCATTTAAATATGTATATATAGCGTACATTATTCGATTATCGCACGCTCCTTGTTTACACTTTACAGTTGACATTCAAAGTGGGCGTTGTCTAGTGTATTTGAATGCTATTGGCTAATGGAATACAATGGGAAGGCAAATTGCTAGCCAAAGTAAGCAGACCGTACGTGGCAGGCCCAAACCCGCTAAAGTAGATCTGCATAGGAGACTAGGCATTTCTTTGTGGGGGGTCTGGGGGCATGCGGTTGCCCCCTCTCGATTTTTAAAATTTTTGTATCTTTGAAATGGCATTTCCCGCATTTTGGGAGTAATTTTGAGCAAATGTAGTTATAAACATGTTTTTAATGGCGTATTATATAACAACATTGAATTTCTATAACTATTTTTTGGCTGACCCAATTTGGGAAATTGCAACCTCAAGGTAATTGGGAAAACCATGTAACGCGGAATTTTTGACTGTAGCTAACACCCTGGAACAATTAATTAGAGCAATTACCTTAAAACATGTGACAGTTTCCAGTGGTCTCCAGGGAAGTCGTGGCATGGGCTGTGACCCATCTGCTGCGGGCCGGATGTGAATCTGAACGTTGGCTGTTGCTGGACCGGGAATGAAATGTGGATTATGGAAACCTGGCACCATTCCCTGGAAAATATCAAGTAAAAACATCAAAATAAGAAGAGGTGTTGGTCATTAGTGCATGTGTTATTGACCTCAGACTGAGGTTCCATTCCTGTGATATACAGATATCTGATTAACCCATTAATTAAGCGGCAGAGCTTTCCCATTGTCAAGTAATATTGTCTGGCATTGCCACATTAGACAAGTAAAAAAAATAAGTAGGGCACATGGACCCATTAAGCTGCAGAGCTTCCACATTGACAAGTAATATTGTCTGGCATTGCTGCATTAGACAAGTGAAAAAAATAAGTAGGGCACATGGGCCCACTCACATTGACAAGTAATATTGTCTGGCATTGCCACATTAGACAAGTAAAAAAAATAAGTAGGGCACATGGGCCCATTAAGCTGCAGAGCTTCCACATTGACAAATAATATTGTCTGGCATTGCCGCATTAGACAAGTAAAAAAAAAAGTAGGGCGCAGGCCCATTAAGCTGCAGAGCTTCCCCACCGACAAGTAATATTGTCTGGCATTAGACAAGTAAAAAAAAAGTAGGGCACACTGGGGAGAATTGTGGCTCAATGGTTTAATATAATTTCACTTCAGTCACATGTGAGAAGAGTGCTTTCACTGTGGCAAACCTACAGGTTTCCTGCAGTTTCCTCCTTTAGTAACGCCAGGTCAATAAAAGATGATGCTTACTGAACATATGGAAACAACTGACAGAGACATACAAGACAAGAATACAAGTCAGAATGAGGAATTACCGGTGGACGTAGTATTTCGGGTTGAGTATTCAAAGGGCATGTAGATATTTTATGTCCAGGTTGAAAGCATCGATGACAGATCACTTTTTTCATCATAATGTCAGGGTAATCTGTGCTCACAGGCAGTTCAAATCTTGGACTGAAAGATGAATGAGTTGTAGTTATTACACAAGCTAATGTAAATATCCATGGGTATTTATCATAGTTGCTCAAAATGGGTTAATATCTTTGAAGCCTGGAATGTGCAGGGAAGATCTTTTGTCAGTGGTTAGTAATATTGTTCTACTTACTGCATATATTTGCATTGCTTTCCTTCAGGACAGAATCCACACAAATAGTTAACACACAACACTCTTCTAACATGTCGATGACGACAGTGTGGACCTACAGCAAACATCACCATACGACTACATTATGACTACATTATAACTACACAAGGTCTGCTAAAATTTGGTATTATTCATAAACAAAGAGATATACATAAATATTATGGACTAAGGCTTTACATACCATGTTTACAAAATCCTCTATCATACCAGGGACAATCTCGGATTCTTGACTCAGGATCAACATGAAGATACTGACATTCTTTGTTCATACATTCACCTGAAGAAAACATATTTTATAATAGAATGTTGATACACTAACCCTTTAAGTGAAATGCACCCTGATGTGCCATTACATTATTATTTTGCCCATGCATCCTGTTGATTAACCCTTTAAGTGGCAATGCACCCTGATGTACCCTAGCTACTTTATTATTTTAATCTGTCTAACGCCAGACAATTTTGCCCATCAAGGAGAGCATGCTGCCACTCAATGGGTTAATACCTGTACACTATTAGAGTTTTTGCATGATTGTGGTACTGGTATTGAAAATGAGTAACTCGGCCATGAAGCAACCTCTGTAACAGAACAATTCTAAAGTGATAAAGCTATCTATTCAAGTAATATCACTTACCAAATTTTGTATAAAAATAACACTCAGGCATCTTCGACATGTCATATTCGTGAAGAAATTCACATTGGTCCCCTTTCTTACATAAGCCTCTCAACCAATGTTTACAAACAATTGTTTTTTCTCCCTTTGTGTGTCGAAATGGGCAGTAACTGCCACGAATGCAGTTGTTCTTCAGGAAGAATTCGCATACTGCAGCACCAGATTCTATGAAAAATGATGTGTGGTTAGAGAGTCGAATCTCAATGGTTGGGTTGTTAGAACATGGTACCATCATTTGCATATTACGATGAACAGTCACAGATAAAAATATTGTATTTTCTCGCAAGAAACTTACATGTTTGTCAACACAAACACTGCTATAAACAGTGTTACATGCAATATATGAGGACAATCAACAATGATTTTATCTGCAACTCTGATCTCGCCAATTATGAAAACTGGAGTGCAAACTAAACCTATACTGTTATACATAAGATGTAATTTTAACTAAACAGTCTAATGCATGTACAACAATCAACTGCAGACTTCATTGTATGTTCTTCAAACTATCCCACAACATATTCCAGACTAGATAAAGTCAACAAACAAGTATTTTAAAACACAAAATGTCACTCACTATCCATGCCAGGGAATGGCAAAGGTTGCGTGCCCAGTTGCTGTGAGAGGGCAGCTTCCACATCAAACACGATATCACTCACATCTGCTACGACTGACAACATTATTATAACCCAAAATTTGAAGAAATATGAAGAGAAAATTACAAAAATACGAGAAAATATACAGCTAAAAATGTTCACAAATCTACACTTCCAACGTTACGGTGTAGTCCGAACCAAAACCGGTTGACAACGAACATGTCGCGATATCATTCCGATGTCATAGCCTGATTTGCCCTACTTTTTCGCCGCCCTATGCATCCCACCCGAATTACCGTCGATCGCATCTACGGATGAACACTCGCAGTTGGACGTAATTATGGCAAATGTGATGCAATGAATGACATGCAAAAGACTTAGAATTGTTTACTTCTGAAAAGCGACTCTATACGTTTGTGCGCGAGTTCACTCATTTGCATCCGTCAGGAACACAAAATCATAATTATAAGAATATTTAATATTTATACTGGATACCAAATCAGTTACAACTGTTATCAACAAACAAACAACAAACAAACCAACAAGTCTCGGACCGAATTAAAAAGCCTTCTCATTATTGTCGAACTTTCTCTTAGCCTCAGTTTATTAGTAGACTTTTTTGTGTTAATATTAATGACCAATAACAAGGCTTAACATTTTTTATTAAAAACGACGTTCCGGAGTTTACTCCATCATCAGATTAACAGACTACAATATATTGTCTAAACAGCTTGCGACGTCGCCTGTTAAGCCTCGTACTTGGTCATTAGCGAGCTTAAGATGTACCAAATCTACGACGCGGACGTGACATAAAAACCGTTGCTAATGCTTGGAATCCAGTTTTATTTTGCTTCACTAGTGTGTCTCTGATTTTGTTTATCAACTGGAGGCCATAATTTTTATCCGTGTAATGAAACTGTGGGAATAGTTACAGTTTTTCTTGACGTCCGCGTCGTAGATGTGGTGCATCTTAAGCTCGCTAATAATAATAACAACACAAAAAAGCCTTCTCGTTGTTAGCAAAGTAAATAACATTTTCTGAGAACTCTCTAAAGTGTTTTTCAAAGTTTGCAGTTCATTTCTTCTCAGGAATGAGGAATCCCAGTTGCTTGCGAGTAGCTAGGAGGTGGGGGATCAGAGGAGAGAGGGGGATACAAGGGAGCTACCATGGGCGGAGCGCTGGGGTATGGTAGGCCAGGCATACCGTATTGCTGGGTATTAAAACCATAGGTGGGTGCAGTGGGCTGGCCTGTGTTATAAGGATCATAGACAAAGAACAAGCTATGTGAATCTCTGGGATACTGCAACTTTTTCCCTGTTTCAGCGACAACCGTGTCATCTTTTTCAATCCACTCCGAGGAAACATCGCCACAAATATACAATCGCCATCCCTTCTTGTAGAATTCTTCAACAACATGAGAGATGATACTCTTGGCATGTACAGTATCGTTGCGTACACCTCCGTGCCACGGCTCGCAAAATAACTTCATCTGCCAAACATTTCCAAACGGAAACTCTTTCTCCTTCTCGCTTTCATAACCTTGGCCCCAACGTGACAACACAGTCCGTTTAAATAAGTCAACCATGTCGGGCTTCATGTTAATCAGACGGAACTTATCTTTGTCAGCCAAGGCGAGGCACGTGATTGGATCATTACGAGGTTGCGCTTGCTGAAACACCAAGACACTCTTACTCCCTCCCCGTCGACTCATCTCAATCGCGGCTATGGCATGCCATCCTTTCTCTCTCATTGCCTCCAGCACTTTTAGAACCAAATACCTCGCTTTGATAGACTCGTCACTTGTTGAATGCCATGGAATGCCGGCCAATTTGAATTCCCAACTGCCATACCAATCCTTCTCTTTTTGAATCTTATCTGGCCCCCAAATGGACACGATGACTTGCCTTATACGAGAAATGACATCTTCTTTCACTTTGATAAGACGTAGTCGATCATCACGATTTAGACTGATGGTGCAGAAGTCTGTCGACTCGCCAGGAACGATGGTCGGGTCGAATTTGAAGAAGAGGGAATCGGTGGTACATTTGGTATTTACATTACACACAAATGCCCACTGGTGACGGCGGAGTGTTGCGATGATTTCCTGAATCAGGATTTTCGACTGGATTGCTTCCTCTTCGGATGATTTCCAAGGTGTGCCAGAGAGTTTAACTTTCAAGACTCCGTCACTGTATGTCCATCCTCTGTGTCCTAGCCGCCAGGCGATCTGAATCGCTTCTCGCAGAGGTTGTTCCAAATTCGCGGGAAGATTGACAAACAGCAAACTATCGTTGCTGCTCAAACCAATTCCAATGTAGGGTAAAGTTGAGAATTCCGGTGCACTTTTTCTCAAGAATATCGTACTCTGTTCGAATTTCCTCCCAATTTGAGCGGTTTGAACGACTTTCCAACCGACGGCAGCCAATCTTTCCAAGATCTTGCCAATCATTTGTCGTAGTTGCGTTGACGTTTCTTCATTGGCTTGGATAAACGGTTGACCCCCTAGCCTGAACCAGGTCACACTCCCACAATCATGCTCCACTGGGATAAGGCCCTGTTTCCAAGTTTCGTTGATCGCTTCTTGTATGGCATTCGCTCCTGCCTCATCTAAATGAACTGCCGTGATGTCACTCCCTTGTTGTAATGAGATGCAAGTCGTCGCAAAGTTCGCGCTCGCCGGAGGGACTGGGTTCGAAACACCAGCTCCCATTCTGGATTAATCTGAAAATTTGAAATAAATTTATTATATACGCAATGCTCTGGTTAAGTAGAGAACTTTAATATTGTGTGATACAGGGGGAAGCGTGTTGAAAACGAGGCTCTAGCTTAGTCCGCTGACCAGGTAAACACGACATTACCAGCCTTAGACCAAAGGATGAGATACAGATACGAGGTTCTCTCCTCCGCAGAGGCTTTTAAATAATTTTTGTAGTAATCTTAAGCTCTCCTGTCAGAAAACGTAAACAAGATAAGGGGTTTATATCACTTTTCAGCTGAATGAAAGAGTTGACGAATGACGTTTCTATTTAACTGCATATTTAAGTGCCTTCGTCTGTTCATTTCTCATTTCTGCTCTGCTCGCTGTAAAGTGGCCACAGACTATCAAATATGTAAAATATTTTAAACATCGTGTTTACGGAGTTACGTAGAGAACCGCAGACATAAACGTAAAGTTCGTATTGAAGTTATTGAAGCTATGCGTGTGGCTATGCCACAAATGCATCTGATTCTCCATCAGACAGTGGGTAACCCGAGTGTCAGGCTTTGATAGAATTCGAAGGCCTGCAGGATACACAGGTTAGACTGTGGAGTGTGGGATTCAAGGCTTTTCGTCACAGCGTGAGCGGCTTATATCCTAAGGCTTCCTATTAGGCCAAGGAATACATACACATTGTGTGAACTATTTTTCACATCCTCAAATACCTGAAAGGCTTTATATTTAAAGACCACTACCTCCACTAAAGAGCTAGGGTTTGAAATCGATACATTGCCACATTGGTACAATAAATATGAATTCGTGTCTCTGCTTGCATTGCAGCGATACAGTAAATTGTGACTATTAACATACATAACACTGACTAAGATCATGCAAGATTAAAACATAAGGCGTTAACTAACCTTACCGATGTTTATATCGCTGAAAAAATGGATAGAATCCACAGTTAGGCCCGGTTTAGACGCCGTGCTTTTCATGAGCCGAACTTAATGCAAATGAGCTTAAACAAAGAACTTAGTTAATTAACATTAAGTTCGGCTCATGATAAGCACGGCGTCTAAACCGGGCCTAAATGTCTACTTTAAAAACAGTGCGTCGATTTTTCCTCGTTATTCGACACCGCCAAAGGACCCTCGGTTTCAAAAGGCCAGACAAACGTAACCAAAATGCTTTGCTCTTTAAAATATGCAAAATCAGAGATTACGCCAATCATGGCGAGTGTTATCTCAGCGTGAGAGATTTAATGTCAACACTTATTGACACAAAACAAACAATATAGGTCCTTGACCGTAAGTCGCAATGGAAAGGCAATGTGTCGTGTTATGTGAGTTTGACACGTTTTGTCACTGACATAAGAATTAAATTGCAGCACTAAATAATATAGGTGGATTGCAACCAATCTCTTAGGATTTTAAATATATTACTGTCGTTCCAATTGAAGTGTTGCTCAAATATTGATTCAAACATTACCTCGGGCTGACCAATCATTTCATCAAGTTCCTCGAGATATTCATACACTTCCTAGTATAATTGTAAACTTCCTGTTGAATAGTTTGAATGCACCAATCACCTTTGTTGTTTGTGCAACTAACCAATCATAAATAGAAAGGAAGTGACCAGAAATGATCAAATACTTGGAATTAGCTCTTTCACAGGAAGTGTATGAATATCTCGAGGAACTTGATCAAATGAATTGGTCAGCCTGAGGTAATGTATTGAATCAATATTTGAGCAACACTTCAATTGGAACGACAGTAAAACGGCAGCCATGTTGCCGTGTTGGTGCGAAATTCAATCAAAGATAACGAGATTCAGTCTATTAACCGATCGCAGTCATTGTATGTTTCGTGACTTTCGTCTGTTTGTTTTGCCTTTTTAGTCCTTTTAATAATATTGTTCATATTTTTTTGTTCCTAATCCTAGTTGTCGAGACATTTTCTCATAAAATATGCGCATCAGTGCGTATCGTACTGCAAACCGCTATAATACGATTACATGACGTATCCTGCACGTCTCGACAATAATGGCGGTCAATACAAAAACATTGCAATTTGGAAAACTCTGATATTTTACAAAGTAATGATGGCTGAAAGGATTTCTTTTAAAACTGTAAGTATTTAATCAAAACAACAGCAAATGTGTTGATATATAACCTACATGTATGACACTATAGTTATATCCCTAATCCCTTGTGTGAAAATGTCACGCAGTACAAACTTATTACATAATATGATATTTAGACATATAATTCAAGAAATAACAACATTTAGCGATCCATACATTAGTATAAAGTAGTTTAGGATAATGGTCCCTAGCGCTAAATATTTCAAGCTTCTAGCAATCTTTAAAGCTGAGATATAACGCATGAAACTTTCACTGTCCGGAAACTGGGTAGCTACACTGATATATTTGATATTGTACTTTTTAACGATAAATTTCAGTGATAAATTTGTACTTTCTAAACAGGAAACAGTGAACAAACTTCTTCAAGAACATTTTACAGATAAAAAGACCAAACGTAAGTCAGGATTTAAGCCGCAATATGTACCATTGTGCCTTATTTTATAGCAATATAAACTTCATAAGGTGCTTTCCCTAAAAGCTTGTGTTTTCACTAGTTGCTGGTGATGCCATGAAATTAATGGCCGAATTTATACGAGTCTTCGTGGCAGGTACGTATGATTGTAGTGCTTAGAACTAGTGGCCATATTTTCTAAACCTTATTTATTTGTACATTTTGTAATCAACACTTGTTTATTAACAAAACAGAGGGTGCTGCAAGAGCTGGACACCAAGCCAAAGTATGTACCAACATTGACTTTTAAGAAAAATATATTTGTGTCTTATAATACTATTGCCAAACCCCAATTATTAATAAAATACTTTTATATTCTCCTATTAGACGGAATCAGCAGTCACAGTAGAAATTGAACATTTGGAGAAGATACTGCCTCAACTAGTATGTTTTTTATTGCTTTTGGGTGTTCATATTCAAGTTTGACATATCACTTATAATAACCTTGCTTTTTTATAGTTGCTCGACTTCTAAATGATTCATGCTCCAAGGGAACAAGAATGATAGCTGGACGATAAAAGATATTTTGTAATTAAGTTTGGAATAATTATTTTAAAAAATTTGTAATTTTTTTTCAGTTATAAAATTAATTTGAAAGGTGTTTGTGTCTTTTTTATTGACAAACAAACAATGGACAAATGGCAATGAATTTAATTTTTTTGCGACAACCAGGAGGCTTTACAGACACGTAAAAACGCACAAGTTGTAACAAACCTGCAGCAGACTTGTAGCAATGCTGTTCCAACAACTTGTCAACAGGATGTGTTCGCACTGCTTGTTCCCAGCTTATTGACAAGTTCTCAACGGCTTGTTGACAACTTGCTACAAGGTTGTTGAGCTCAACAGACTTGTTACAAGTTGTTCCAACAACTTGTTATCGTCCTGCAATTCAACAATGTGTCAACAAGTTGTGAGTGTTGTTGTGAGTGACAATCTTGCAGCAACTTGATAAAATAACAGCATTGTTACAACTTTTTGACAAACTTGCTACAAGCCTGTTGCGAACACATCTTACATAGATGTTTACATCTCATCACTCCATATCAACACGGATTTCTAAGAAATCGCTCCTGCGAAACATAACTTCTATCCGTATTCCACACCATTGGAAAAAATCTGGACAAGAACACACAGACTGATATTGTTTACCTTGACTTCGCGAAAGCGTTTGATTCTGTTGACCATTCTATTCTTCAAAAACTCAAATGTTATGGAGTGACTGGAAACCTTCTAGGTTGGTTTGCTGATTACCTTAACAATCGTCGTCAGAGAGTCGTTGTGGACAGTGTCGCGTCACGTTGGGCTCCCGTTACATCTGGAGTGCCGCAAGGGAGTATCCTGGGACCTGTGCTCTTTGTAATCTTTATCAACGATATTCCTGAAGTGACTGATGGAACATCTCCAGCGCTGTTTGCAGACGACACGAAGGTTTACAAGGACGTAAGATCGGTAACGGACTGTGAAAAGCTTCAGCAGACCTTAGATAAGTTAGATATTTGGACTCAAGACAACATAACATTTAACGCTTCTAAATGTAAGGTACTGTCGGTGACACGTAAGAAAGATCCAATTACCTATCCCTACCACCTCGGTCGAAATTATTTGTCGAGAGTTGAAAACGAGAAAGATCTTGGAGTAACCCTCTCCTACAAACTTCACTGGGAGACTCACGTTAATGAGATCGTGTCGAAATCTAATAAACAACTTGGTGTGCTAAAACGAACATGCTTATCATTAACAAACGTCAACATCAGACGTTCATTGTACCTGACACTAGTTAAATCACAACTCTCCTATGCAACACAAGTTTGGTCTTCAAATCATCACAGTCAACTCAACAGAAGAATTGAAAGAGTTCAAAGGAGAGCGACAAAATGGATATAAATAATAAAGACTGGTGAAATACCATACGAACAACGATTAATGACATTGAAACTATTGCCTCTCACATACGACAGAGAAATCAAAGATCTCGTGTTCTTCTACAAGATGCTGTATGGCCACATCGACCTTAAAATGGACAGTTATGTTTCATTCATTGAACATAGACGCACTAGACTCAGTCAAGCTGCTAGTGTTGTGCTTCAAACACCCTTGTGTAGAACAACGACCTTTCAATCGTCATACTTCAACCGGATAGTTAAACCATGGAACTATATATGTAAAGACGTTCATCCAGATACATTCTCCAGTCCGATCTCCTTTAAAAACTATCTTAAACGTAAATATACCGAACTTGTTAAGTCAGTCTATGATGTTGAGTTATCTTGTACGTGGTCACTGGTACAGGACTGTCCTTGCCACAGGAAATAGTTAAGTCAGTTTGTCGTGTTTGTATATTTGTCTGTCTCTGTCTGGAATATGTTTCTGTCTATCATGTAAAGGCTAGTCTCCATTCGGGAGGGCCTTCAGGATCGGGGTGGACGGGAAAGTTTTCAGTTTGTTTTGCGAGATTTCGTTTGGAACCTCTGGTTTCGAACTAAATGAATTTAATCAACACGAATGACGTGGACGTTGTGAATTTAACACAATGAAAGCTCTCCCGCCGTTTCTGTTCAGTGGAGGATCTTCCTGTGTGGAAGCTGGCCTTTACCTTTACATGCATGTTCAATCTGTCTCTTAGTTTACTTGACATGTTCAGTTTCAGGAAATAGAGTCACGTTTACTCAAACTCTCTGAAGCGGTGACTATTTTGAATTTCGAGTTTAACTATTCCACTTAATTTTTTGCTTGCCTGAATCCTTTAGCGAGTTTGAGTTCGCGATGTTCTATTTGTTATCACGATTACTATTTTGGAGGTGGGTGCCCTGCATGGGACCTTTTATAAGAGTCCCGTTCGTACCTTACCTTTTTGGATCTACATTTGATATCTAGGTTATTTTAACTTAATGTAATATTTGTTCTGTTATATTCTTTTGTTTGTTAAAAATTGTGAATATCGATCCAAATAAAATTTGTTAAATTAAAATTAAAAATCTTAGATGTTGACAAATTGTGAGATTTTTCGTGTGGAGTGGGCGCTTGGATGGAAAACTAACATTTTATAACTACTTGTAAAAATATGTAAACAGTCAATATCCCTAAAAGCTGTCGCTAGCAGGTGGCATTTTTCACGGCAGGTAGACACTTGTACAATTAAAACAAAGTCTGTTCAATAATATCTGCTCAAAATATTACTTAGGAAAAGAATTATCCGGACGATTTGGACTCTTTCAAGGAGGAACAGAATTTATTAAAGTTGCCAATTATGAAGTTCGTTGATGGAGATCATTTCTTATTTATCAATGTTCGCGTGTAAACGACCTTTGATCGACGAGAGTCAACGGCTCTACGTATAGTTAAAGGAAAATCTGTTTCCTTAGTAAATTTTTATATTTATATACGGTACGATCGCCTTCGAAGTGTATTCTTCGCAAGACGTTTTCTTCTTTGATCCATTATCTGTTCCGAAGGTGTTACTCCGGTCTAACATTATCTGAATCATCGGGATATCTCTAGCGAAGTAAACGATTGTCGGAAATATATACTGTTCTACAATCACTACGTTCCAAAGTGTATTGTTTGCAAGACGTTTGTGTGTGAGCCTGTTCCATTATCTTTAGTACGGACAGAAATATGGCGTCTTCGTTCAAGCGTTCCAACACAAAGTACAGTATAAAATCTGTCGAGATTTATAACATACTCGTTATATTCTAGTATAGCAGAAATATAGAAACTTTGGCAACTACAATAACCACGAATACTTGAGAATATAACGTTTTTTATATCTTGATAAAAAAAAAATAAGACTGCCACAAGTGCTACGAATCTAACAAGAAATAAGTGTTTTATATGAGGAGAATTTATAATATATAATTATAAAGAAAACAAGGATCAACAAATTCTTCTATACCAAGATATAAGAAGAATCCTTACGATAATCATTTCAAGAAATCTCAAGCGGTCAAGATGATTGAGGAATTAGAAGAAGGAATGGACGATTCATATGGTGAAGGAGCTGTAGTGACTTATACGAATATTTCCAGTCAAGTATTTCAATTGCTTCATTATGAGATCATGTTCACACTGGAGGAACGAAGGCATGGCGCTGTCATCATTCATATCTTGATCTGTCTTTACGCCTTCGCTGCACTGGCTGTCTTATGCGATGATTATTTCTGTGCTTCGTTGAATAAGATTTGTAAAAGGTAAGGCACACATCATCCTTTTTTCGATCTCAATCGAATAGCTATTACTTTCTACACGGCTCACAATTTTTCATTATTTTCACATGTTGCTCCTTTGCAATTCCAAATGACTCAGTGTTAAACACAGTTCTCTCAAACATTTCTGTCACGGCGCCTGGGAACTATCATTGGGAAGATCATCTTATTTTCGATGACAGGCCTCCGTGCCTAAATAAAGTTCACTATCACTATCTTACAAATCCTTAAAAACTTTACCCACTGTGGTCACCGAAACTTTGATCGTACAAAGCAGGCTTAATAGCTCGAGTTATCAGACACTTCTGAGTGGGATCTTCTCCGTGAAAGTCTATTAATTTCTCAACTTAACCCTGTCCTTATAAATGCTAATATTAGATCTACCCCTCTTGAGTTATTTAATTATGTAATATTAACCTTAACTATACTAACCATGCACTTAACATTAATCTTTACTAATCTTTACTAATCTTCATTAAACTTTACTAGTTCTTTGTAGGTTTGTATGTAGTCTCCCTCGCAGCCTGTCGCTGTGAGTTTGAATACCCGCGAACAGGCTGCGAGGAAGACCAGTTTGCATGGCGATAAAACATATATTTTGTTTGTGGAAAAATTTACGTGGTGTTTCAACAAACAAACTATTATATAATTAACTAGTTTACTGACAAGTTGTTTTCCTTTCTTTCTATTCAATTGTTCTTTCAAACTATGTAACCGTTTGTGTAATGTATATACCATACCCTGTAAATTCATTTAGATTGGTCTGAAGATGTTATATTGTAAACAACGAAACGTTAGTTACTATTTTTTTAACTTTTATTATGTTTGGTTTTAAAGTTATTTGCTGGGCTCTCCTTTTTATCTTTAAATGAATGTTGAGGGGAAATTATAATCAAATAACAGCATACTACAAAGATGAAATGCACATGCATTAATAACTGTAAACATCCCTATGTGTTTTTTTCTAGGCTAGATATCCACCCAGACGTTGCTGGGGCGACATTCATGGCGGCCGGAAGTTCAATGCCAACGATGTTTATATCTGTGACGTCAGTATTTCTGGACGAGGGAGATATAGGCCTGGGCACGATAATAGGCTCCACTATGTTTAATATCTTGTTCATCACTGGGATATGCGGTGTGGCAACCAGTGTAGCAATTAATCTCAAACCTTATTCCATCATCCGGGATTCGCTCTGTTACGTCATCTATCTTATGTTCCTCCTGCTTGCAATGTATGATGGGATGATCTATTGGTACGAGGCTCTGTTCGTCTCGTTGTTATACGGGTTTTATGTAGTTATAATGTGTTATAATACAGCATTAGAGCATCGCTTTAATAAATGGGCGAGGTCTCACTTTAATCAAACTAGACCACCGAGTCCCACACGCTCTCCTGCAAAATCCTTTTCAAAATCGCCGGAGAAAAGCCCTTCGAAATCGAACAAAAACACCCCTGCTTCACCCAGCAAAAGCGCCAGAGATCTTGATTCACAAAAGCTCGCTGCTTTGGAGTTGCCCGAACATCCGTCTGCATTGCCTGACGAGCAGCCTCAACTGCCCGAACATTCACTTGACAGCCAGCCTGCAGTATCTGGCAATCAGGCTGAATTACCTGAAAATCCTCCCGAGGAAAAAGAGAATATCACATCACTTCCTCCTTCAAAAGACGACGATATTCCTACAATAGTCACTCCTTCCCATACTTCAAACGTTGACGAAGCCTTTACGGAGGATTACGATGATAGAATGAGCGACGTACGTTCGGTGTACTCAGACACTGATGATACACTACCACATACGAAGTACGACGATGAGCCGATCGATGCTTTAGCATGTCCTTCTGGGAGATGCAAACAAGTCCGTTGGGCAATAATGTTTCCTATTCGTGTGTTGTATTATATTACAATACCAGATTGTCGCGTTGCCAGCTGGGAGAGTTGGTACATAGTGACCTTTATCATGTCCATCGCCTGGATGGGGGCGCATTCTTATGTGTTAGTCTGGGCGGTCAGCGTCATCGGTGTGACAATTAGTATCCCAGAATGCATTATGGGTTTAACACTTCTTGCTGCAGGCAGCAGTATCCCAGATGCCATTGCGAGCTTAGTTATGGCCGAGCAAGGGATGGGGGACATGGCACTAGCCAATGCAATAGGTAGTAATATATTTGATATGCTGTGTCTTAGTATACCGTGGTTATTATCAACATCTATAGTACACCCAAATTCTCAGGTTTTTATTCAAGGAGGGAATATAGTTTATGTCTCAATGACTCTATTTGGCACGGTTGCAGTAACTTTATTTATACTTTATTGCAATAAATGGCGGCTTGACAGGAAGTTAGGAGCGGCAATGTTGATAGCTTATGCATTCTTTATAACAGCGGCTGTCGTCATCGAATCATTTCCAAATCATAAAAAGATCACCCACCCGCACCACAGGCCTGACCTGCCACACAAGGGACTTGGGATTTCTGAGTCACATCGTACCAAGAATAAAATAAAAACAACAGGTTTTACATGGAACTAGACAAGATTACTTTTAAATAGCGTTTGAAATTCCAACAAGAAAGTTAAGCTTAAAAATTATTATTGTTGGGATTAATATATATATATATATATATATAGTTTTTCGTTTTACCTCAAAAAAACCACAACAGTCTGTTGTGGTTTTATATATATATATATATATATATATATATATATATATATATATATATATATATATATATATATATATATATATATATATATATATATATATATATATATATATTAACAATAAATAAGCTGATTTATTAATTAATTAGTAAAAGTACTGTATACATTGAAAGCTGCTAGCGGTGAAGGTATGTTGGTAGATAAATATTGAAATTGGTATGTAATTAATTATTAATATATTAAATTTATAATTATTTATAATTTATATTTACAAATATATGTTCACATTTGTACAAAAATATATTTCATTCTAATTGTTAGCTGTGATTGAGTTTGGTCCGAGTTTAGATTTCTGAATATTATCACCTTACGATAATTATTGAAAATACTTGGTAAATAATCTTTTGAGTTGATGAGATGAGTCTGGCGCCCATTCGATCTATTATCAACAGATCCTACCTTACTGATTAAACATCATATCTTTTGTTGTATCCATGAAAAATGACATCGAAATATGGCGATCGCGATGAAGTCTAAATAAAGAAAAAAATTAATAAGTTCTTTGTAAGTTTGCATGGTAAAATATTATATTTGTTTTCGTTTGTGAAAATGTATTAATGGTGAAGATTTGGGCTTATACGGATCGGAGGCTTCGCAATATACGCGGTGTGTTTCATAAACCAAAACAAATAAAACATTGTTCTAATTATATCAAGATTATGATGATTGTGATGTTACTCTGAGTGTATATCCATACCGGGCAAGCTTGAAAAATATGCCTGACCACAGTGGGAATCGAACCTACGACCTTTGGGATACTAGTCCAATGAGCTACGAGGTCAAGTCGGTTCGAGTTCGATTCCCACCGTGGTCAGGCAAACTTTTCAGCTTGCCCGGTGTGGATGCACACTCAGAGTAACATCACAAACATCATATTCACCTGAGTACCATAACACCAACACAGAAAAAATTATATCAAGATTGTTCTAATTATCAAGATTGTTCTAATTCTGCCAATTACTATATATAGTTGTAGACACTGGCATTCTCACCTTCCTTCTTTGATGGATGGATCAGGAGTAAGGATTAACGGAGCAATACTAGTAAGAAGAAACAGTTCGGATAAATATATTTCTTAATGAACTAATTAGAGCGCTTCAATGTGTGTAATGTATACCAAGCAAAGTTCTCAATTAGAAATGAACTCCAACGTACTTTGGTAGTTCGAGTAAACTGATGAGTTCACTCGCTCGAATAAGTAAACTTTCTCTCTCAGCCTGTTCAACACATAACTCCTAAACAAGAATGATAACTCGAATATATCATCAGACGGCTAATTACAACTTTAATTGGTATAGTAATAAGAAATTTAATGATACGATTAATTAGAAAATCAATTAGAACATAATTCGTATAAAAACAATTTACCGATCTGAGCTTGGCGACTTTGGTAATGCACAGACTAACTTTTTGAATAAGATCTGGACATCTTGAGGCAAGCTACAATGATTAATTATAAAGCGTTATACATACGTGTCCTGGAATAAATCAGTTCGTAGAATTTACAACAACTTCGACTCACCTTGGCCAACGTTGACATCAAGACACAAACCAAACGAGAACTACAAATTTCCTGCAATTTCAAAAAAAACACACAACTTCGGTTTCGTCTCACAGGGAGGGTTGATAGGGTGGGGATGGGATTAGCCCCTAAGTTGGGTTTAGCCTCTAACTGACCCTTCCACCGTAGCTGTGCTTCGTGATCAGATACGAGTCCGTCAGAGGCGCCCTTAGTAAGCCTTCGACTCGATCAGGTTGAGCTGCGTTCATCGTAATTCAGCTTAGCTCTCAGCTGCAAGTATAAAGGATGATTAGTACCCCCACACTAACCCACTTACTCACCTTACTGTTTCCTGCGTTCATAGTTAGTGTAAGTTCGTATGTTACACACTCAATTGCCTACATAACAGAAACAGACCGGAAAATAAATCAATAGTGTATATGGAAAATGTCAAGTTGCTCAAGGGGACTGGGTAAGGCGAAGCATACCTCGTGAAACTTGATAATATGAGGGTTGCCACATCTTTCATCATATTTAGTGGATGCGTATTCACCAATCACCCAAACCTACAACATCAACAACGTTAACGGCAAGAAATCTAGTTCAATATAATTGGACATGTGGTTGTCCACCATCTGCATGTAATGCAACCCACTGAGTGCATACTATACAATTACTTTATGGTTTCCGTGTTTGGATGGCCTGATCCAAACACGCGGGAATGTTGCGAGAGTTAAGAAAAGCGCGCGAAACACCAGCCGAAGGCGAGTAATTTTGCGCGCTTTTTTTAACTCGAGCAACATTCCTAAGTGTTTGGATCAGGCCATCCAAACACGGAAACCATAAAGTAATTGTTTTATAAAATAACAACAACACGATAGTCTTCCGTGTTTGGATGGCCTGATCCAAACACGGGTTTCGACCAATCAGAGCACGCGTTATATACATGTTATTTTATAAAGCTCAATCGTCAAGGCTTACCACATTAGTAAAGAATTCCTCAAATCCATTATCTAAACTTTTCATTCTGTGAACGAACTCAATGAGTTCATCAGCATATTCAAGAACCAGACAAGGGTAGAGCTTGAGGATGGTGAGCAGCTCCGTCGCCAGTAAACTTGGAAAAACACAAAACACATGTAAGGACTATGATACCATATTTTTATTCATAATTCTTGGTTTGAAACTTGCCTAGTGAAAATTTGTTTAATATTTCTTTTACCTTTGAATGTTTTTCTTATAACTTTCAATATTGACGATACATGTGACTCGTTCAAGAATAATAGGAAAAAGTTTTCTGACAGTATCAATGTCTTTATTTTGTAAAATGATTTTGAAGTAAACTCTGAAATGAAAGGAAGAATAGAAGATATGGTTAGGTGGGTAGATGTTATGGTATTGGTATGGTATGTATGGTATGGTATGTGGTGTGGTATGGTATGGTGTTGTATGGTATAGCATGGTATGTCATTGTGAGGTATGTCATTGCGAGGTATGGTATGGTATATGGTAAGTTATGGTTTCGTATGGTGTGGTATATATGGCATATGGTGTGGTATTGTGTAGCATGCCATGGTGTAGCATGGCTCTGTTTGGGCATATGGTTTGTTGTGTAACATTAACTACATTATTAATCAAGATTACCTAAGCATCAACCAGGAAACTTGTGAACAAACCAGTACTCGCGGGTGTTCAATGCAATCTTCAAATACGGAATGAAGAATATCTAACCTGGAAAAGAAAAACACGCATTTCAATACGAACACATAGAAATAATTAAGAGGACTCCTCTATGAACAACAATGCGGTGTTTTTACAAAACAAAATAATCACTTACTTGTCAATCGTGTCAGCAATGCCACCCTGCTGTCTCAAGATGAATGCAAATATCGGTTTATACTGAAGACCTTCGTACGCTTCGACTGATTTACGAAAGATGGCGGCTGATTCCGACATAACTGCGCTACCTGAAAACAATGCAAGGATGGGCTCCAGTTACTGAAGGGGATGTGGAAATAATAAAAGACGACCCTCACCAGGCCCCCAGGAACAACAGAGTGACCAGATTTGGTAAAAAGTTTCACTATTGGTAAAATTTCGTGAACTTTCGTTAATTTTCAAGAAAATTTGGCGGCAATGAGTTTTTTTGGTAAAATTTTGGTAAAATCTTAAATTAATAATCATTTTGGTAAAAATGTGTGTTTCTTGTTTAATAACGTGCTCAAAGTGATGAACAGAGTTGCCAAGCCTAAGAAATAAAGCCTTATCATTAGCAAAAACTGCAATACGATGAAAGCAACAAGTATTTCGAGATACTTTTTGGGCATACTTTTTCTACTTTGATGACGTAACTATTGTTTTTTGGCATTATTATGACGTAATTATTTGGGAAGACATTTGGTAATGACTCCTGAAAAAATCTGGTCACACTGGTATAAGTTGTGACGGACGATGTTGCGAACTTACGTTTGCCAGCTTGTTTGACAGTTTCAAGAGCAGCAGAGAGACATGGCAAGTCCAGAAGAAAGTGAAAGATCTTCAAAACAAAGAAATTCGAGTTTTAACAGACTGCTCAAGCCCTGGTTAAACGAGCAATAAGAGTTGGTAGTCACGCATTGTCACAGGGGACATTTCAAGCTCTAGGCAGGGTGCAATAATTCAATATATTTAGTCGTACCTGACTGTACGCCAATGGTTGTTGCCACGTACTTACACAAACTCAGTACTCAATGTGTACTTAGTCATTAAAATAAGGTTCATAAAGTACAGGTTTCTGAAAAGTATGTTCAGACTACGAGGTAGAAAAAGAAGCACAATTGCAATATACAAACAATCGACTCCAACGTTTCTTAGTGCCATCAGTCCAATCATGTTTCATGCCAAGACATCTCAGACACATGATATACCAACTAAATCACGGTATTGAATACCTTGGGCTTGGAAAGGTCATGTGATAACAGCAAAAAATAAGTACGCAGATAGCAAGAGTTCCGTGTACGCGCGTGGTACGTGGCTGGAAACAAAGAAGTACCACACAGTAATATTGGCGTACCTCAGGTACGTAAGTACGAGAATTATCGCACCCTGTAATAAAGGTTTTATGAGTATTCCAACTATGTTTTAACCTAAAATACATGTTGGGAAAGCATCAAGAACAGCTAACCCAGGTGGCGTGACTGCCAAGCTCTCATGCACTTTCATTCTCGTTTCATCCAGGTTGACGCTACAGAATACACTAGAATGAGGACTCACTTCCATGTATGTTTTCTCAGAAATCATCGCTGGTAATAATTCCATGAATTCTCTGAGAAACGTTCTAGGAAACCATGCTAGAACCTTGAATATATTTGGGAAATATTTCGAGAAAACGTTCGTCGATTGTTGTAGTTTCTTCGTATGCTCACAACAATAATTGACTACTTCGAATGCGACTTCGGGGCTGAAATATAAATTAACTCAGGTCAAAAAATTGAAGAACAACTCATAAACGGGTTTTCTGGGATGCACCCCCCCAAAAAAAAGTTTGCACCCCAAAAACGTTTTCCCACCACGCCCAAGAAAATTTGCATGGGATCATTTTATGGAACGTTGCGACAAACCTTGTGAAACTGTTGTACAAAATTTCACCAAACAAATATTTGACATACGGCTCTGGATCAAGAATGACAGTTTCACCTTAAATAAAAGAGTTTATTGACTGTACAGTTTGCTGGTGCAGGATGTGGAAACACTATTTACAATATGAGGGGCCGTGTTGTATCGGCGGACGCAAATGTTGTAAATGGCTCGTGAAACGTCTTAATGAGAACTTTCGTACTCTTCAACAATTTAAAATGAATGATATTTTGTTAAACAATTAAACTTCAAGTTGATCTAAATCAGTATGATTCTGTATCAGATATGCTAACTCCTTCACACTCATGATTTCTTTTGAGTTTTCTTCATAAATTATTAATGAGTTTCACAAGCACTATGGGAAATTTTATGAGCCTCAAGTGGAATTTCATTAAGACATTTTTACCGATCAGAATAACAATCATCTACTGCACTATAATGCTTAGTGAAAGGCATCCATTGCTTGAATATACAACCTTGCATCTCTTACCGTGATTAAGAAAAAACAAAACAATGGGAAGTAGTACATCAGTCCATGGTGCCGACCACATCTTGACGACACTGTACACACGACGCACTGCTTGGATTGCTTTAGGAACTAAATCTTTCTCTTGCAGACAAAAGAAATCCATCAGGGAAACAGCTTCGACAATACACTAGAAACAATGATAAAAACATATTAGGTATGAGGTTGAGAAATCCTTCAAATACAATCCAAAATATGTTGTTGTATTGAGAAACTTACAGCCTTCTTTAGTAAGGCATCTTGTGAAGTGGACGGTTCTAAATAGGACAAAACAATTGCGTTGGGTTTGACTAAACACTATTCTGCATCAGATGGTGGTCAACCTGCTTTGGGGGACCCTTTTGAGCTTGTGGGGCAAAGTGCACCCCCACCCTCTTGGCAGGACTCCCTGTGGTAATAACACTTACTGGAAGTCCTGGAAGGACCACCGAATACATGAAAATGTTATACTTTCCACAAAATAATGAACTTACTACATTCACTCTGCCGCAACAGTCTGTAACAGTAAGCCATCGCTTTTCGGCCCAGACTACCATCTTGATGACTCTCTGAGAAAAAACTGGACTCAAAAATACTGGATAAATTACTATAACTTCCAACACTCATGTTATCATCCATATCCTTCACTGGCGTACTGCTTTGGTCGCTGAATGCTTGGGTAATCTCGCTGAAACTTGGTGAGGAATGCTTGTCTGATATTTCTTCATACATTTCATCTGCACCCGGTGTCCGTAGCAGGTGGTCATCAAGAAATGTGGGCTCATTGAACGATGAATGAGCAGTCACAAAAGGAGAGCTAGTGGTGACGCTGTCTCGATCATGAGGAATGTCTATAGAGATTTCGCAGAGACCTTCTTGAAAATGCCATGTGTTGAGCAGCCATTGTCGCAGGAGAGAGAAGGTATAGATGTTCAGCCATTGGTCAGGAGAGCAATAGTGGGCGAGATTGAGCACGGTAAAGAAAGAATGGCATGTGCTTCCATCCAGTTCCGTGATCACTTGAAGTTTTGGTTTGGATGCAAAGATCTTGCGCTGGTATGGATTGGGTGCAGAGTAAAGACTGGCATTTGTCAGCCATTGAAGCATCAGCTGATTAACAGTTGTCACTTGATCTAATAAAACAAATTCTATCTTCAGTTCAAGACTGAATCATCAAGACTGAATTATGTTTTGTAACTAGGACATTACAGACGGTAGTGACATCATAGGTGTATAATCAAATTCATAGTTTTCAGTAGAATGTCCAAACTAATTTTTTAAGTTGAAAATCTACATTACTATGCCAAACATATTGTACTAATACCTTCATTGAACAAGTGAACTCCATAATAATTTTGGATTGAGTACAAACACAAGAGAGCATTTCTTTGAATGTATGAATTTGGAGAACTTTTTAGCCATCTATAACAAAACATTTACATACTTATTAGCACTGATGAAGATCCGGGCTTATATGGATCGAAAGCTTTGCAGTAATAAATTTACATGGTGTTTCCACAAACAATAGTATTATAAAACATTTACAATTCTAGAACCATAATTTAACGCCGTCTCTCTTATACAGAGTTTACATAGAATTATTGAACACACCTGATGAATATAGGTATGTGTACTGCAATGTGACCTAACTCTTCCCCCTATTAATTGAATGAGAAATATATATTGTGGTAATTAGCACTTTCGCCCTGTTTTAGCATGAAGGTTATAAACCTACCAACACTGCAGAATTTATGATAAACATCTAACCTGGGCAAAAATCAAAGGAAATACCAAAGGCAACCAGTTTAGATCAGCAGACATATTTGATATGTTAATATTGTATCCAACAGTGGGTGACAGATCTCGTAATATCAACATTGCTAAAAGACGCAATGCTTTTGGGCTCTTTCCCGGCTCAACAATCATGTTCTTGAGTTGTTTCAAAAGTTCATCTGAAAAACTGGAGAAAATATTTTACTGTACTATTGACTTTCATGAGAGGGAACATTTAATAGGTTGATCTGGTATTCTATGAGAAGGGTTTGCATTCATTTCACAGTAGGCTGGTATGGTATGGTATGGTATGGTATGGTATGGTATGGTATGGTATGGTATGGTATGGTATGGTATGGTGTAGTATGGTATGGTGTGGTATGGTATAGTATGGTGTGGTATTGTATGGTGTGATATTATGTTGATGTATGATATTGTATGGTGTGATATATATGGTATGATCTGGTAATTAAAGGACATTGGCAACGAAAATTTTTATTGGCTATTTCAATCCTACTTGACAACCGAACTATGAAAACATTACCATTTCCGTCTTGTACATTTTAGTCTACGAGTAAAATGCATGCAAACTTTGTGTTTCGGCCAGTTTCGCCGCCATCTTGGAAAATATTTTTGAAAAATTATCTCGAAGGTCAATGAACTTTGTGACGTCATTGGCTGGGTAGCACCAAAACTACAAGAGAGAATTCTATTGCGTGCGTGTTATGTTAGCTACAAATATGTCGTTTTGAGCGTTATACTGGCCAACACTCTTCTCAATCAAACAAGAGAAGTCTACACTATCAGATAAAAACATATCGAGCGACTGGGAAAGCAAGAAATGGCGCAATTTACAATGCAGGTAATTGATCATAAAATATTGCATTAGTATTTGCCTTGTTACACTCGAATTTCTGCGCTTATTTAACATGGAGTAGGATATATACTATGAGAAATAGTGTTACAAACAAGTTACATACTTAGTTGATAAAACTTTTCTGCCTTTTATTTTGGCTCAAAATGCACTACGCGTGGTAATACACGGTATTGTTTATAGTCATGAGATTGTGTTTACCCAGCCAATGACATCAGATAATGTATTTTGTGGCATAAATTACCATACGCGCTTATTTTCAAAATGGCGGACAACTGTTCAAATTTTCTGAAATTCAATCAAATTTTCTCAGCAACTAAACGCGACAAACCGGCCAAAATATGAAATTAAATATTCCGTAAGAATACCTAATAGATATAAGTAATAAAAATTTTGGTTGCCAATGTCCTTTAAGGTATTCTGGTATGGCAAGATGTGGTACAGTTATGGCAAGATATGGTATTATGGCAAGGTATGGTATGGCAAGGTGTGGTATGGCAAGGTTTGGTATGTATGGCAAGGTGTGATGTGGCATGTTATGGTGTTGAAAGTATGTATGGTATGGTGTAGTGTTGCATGATGGTATGGTATAGTGTGGTAAGGCAGGGTGTCATATGGTACCGTATGGTGTAGTTGGTATTGTATAGTGTGGTATGGTGTGTGGTTTGGTGCATAATGGTAAATTATAGCAAAGTGTACTTTTTAAACTATCTTAAAATGTATTTTCCCAACCAGAGAAGGGGTGAACACAAATATTTAAGTACTAGGTACTTTAACAGGAAGTAAAATGTTTCTATATCATACCTTCTCCGCTTAGGTTTACAAGTCAAATAACGATACAAATCTCTCAAAGCAGCTCCACATTCAGTTCCTCGTTGACCCCCAACTATACAGTTCACAGTATGCCTCACCTGTTGCGCAAAATCCTGGTCGGAAAGCGACCTGTTTTGAAAACAAACAAATAAATATTTTAACCAACTTGCAGCGAGGAAATATAGCTTAGTTTAGTAACTTAATGTCTAAAGTTAAACACACAGGAAAAGTTTTATTTACCTGCTTTGGACAAGCAAATAATCTTCTGATGTTTTCAGCACCGGCTGCACCGCCATTTTGGTAAATTTGTTTTTTTAAATTTTCGAATTCAAAATGAAACACCCCCCGTTTAATTCAATTTCTACGCCTTACCCCCCGGCTGAATGAATTTTGCGGCTTATATTCAAATTCTTAGTATAATGGAGGGCTGGGTATGTCAAATGAAAGGCTGAACAGTTGCACGCCAAATAAAGGCCAATTCGCCAAATGAAGGAAGAAGTTATTTCGCTGACCTCAGAATGACATTTCGTCAAAACTTTTATCTTCAAGATTGGTTTAGAAACAAACTTGGAGTAGGGTTAGGTTAGGGTTAGGGTTGGGATTATGGTTTGAGTTGGTGTTTGGAATAGGGTTAGTGTTAGTAAAACCGTTGCTTCGTTACGTTTTGTCACTCTGAGGCCAGCGAAATAACCTCTTCCGCCAAGGAACGTCCAATGAAAATAGAACTCACCAGACAAAAAGTACATGTTTTGATGTTTATATACATTTCGCTTTTACACAAAAAGATTTTAGATATTTTTCAATTCCTTTATAATATTGACAATATTTTCAGTGCTTTCGTTTGGCACTGGTGAGGGCAGCGTTCACGAAAGATCTTCACACAAGTTTTATAAAACATAGACCACGCTTGATTTCCTTGACTGCTTTTTTGACGACGTGGTTTTGAGCCCCATTTTCACGTAACCTACAAAATAAAAAACTGCCGTGGTTTGTGTCTGAGGTCCAAGTTTTGGGGAAAAAGGTTTCTTCGTCACGACAACCCACCTTTTTATCCTGGAGGTATCAGCGGCGCCCAGGATGACAACAAACAGAGTTCCTTTGGGGAGATTTTCATGAATCTCTGCAAGATTCGTGTCCATTTTTTGCAGTAGTGACTGAAATAAAGGAATAAGTAAACTGGGACTACTCAGTGATTTGAGTGATTATGTTTTAAAGCCTTGGTCAAACGAGAACAAGAGTTGCATGAGAGTTGAGAAGCGAGAGTTTGCATGCATGAGAGTGTTCTCAACTCTCATGTCCCGGTCAAACGAGAACAAGAGTTGCATGAGAGTTGAGAAGCGAGAGTTTGCATGAGAGTTTTCTAAACTCTCATGCCCCGGTCAAACGAGAACAAGAGTTGCATGAGAGTTGATGAGAGTTGAGAAGTCTGAGAAGTGAGAGTTTGCAACTCTCATATCCCGGTCAAACGAGATCAAGAGTTGATGAGAGTTGACTACTTGACTGGATATTACTGCCAAGACTCTCATCAACTCTCAATAAAATTTGAGCCAGCTCAAAGTCAATGAAAGTGTATGAGAGTCGATGAGAGTTGATGGTCAAATACAAGCGGAAGTTGCAACTCTCATCCTCGTCTGAGCAGTAAATATGTAAAGTAATGTAAATATTGAACAAAATCATCATAAAGTGTCACGAGCACCTTCACATTCTCTTGTTTATTAGCTGTGCCAGGTTTTAATGAATCCATGTTATGAAATTGCGACCAAATAATATCATATTTGGGTAAAGCTTTGATGAGATGTTCTACCACCTACATGTACAATATGTTCAATTAGTATATTTATACTGGATCTATCAGCGTATGTATATACTCTTCTCCTTAGACGTCAAGTTAGTACGTGCAATCCCCAATTGGTCCAGTGTTGTCCAGTGTTACTACAGGAGGAAACCGCTGGCAGAGATCAAAATAACGGCCGGTCAATGGACAATGACCACCCAAAAATGACGTCTTGATCCGTCACTTTTTTACCTCACCGGTCATTTTGACCAGCCACATTTTCATGCCTTACATGAAACTATGATACAAGTTTCTATAGTTTGTTTCACTGTTAGTGTAAGCGTATCAATAATGGATCAAAAACAGATTTTGACCGAGCTAAAGGTCGGTGACAGGTCATTTTGACCGCATGCAGATCCATCTCCAGTTATTTTGAGCCCTGGTAAGTCTTTTTAGAAAGTTAAGCGTCTCACCTCCTCATCACTTGAACAAGGTATTGAATCCGCACATCCTGAATACTGTTTGATATTTGCTTTTCTATCAACCATTACTCCTACAAAAGCTTCAGTATTTCAGTACTACAATTATATACATTCGAACGAAGCTCATGCGCGTTCATATACTATGAACACCAACCTGTCTTTGTTGATTTTTCACGCAAATGGTCAAACAAACTAAAAGAAAATGTAATGCAGTTTTACTTTATTTAGAAGCAAAGACAATCCTCATTGATGGTATTATCTAAGTGGTACGAACTACAAGGTACTCCTTCGAAACTTGGAAGCGTTTTATATCTCTTTTCCAAGTAATATAGTTCAGACACAAGGCAGTATTATTACCTTATTTCATCACGAACATCCTCCAATCCAAAATCTGGACCTAAACATATAGGGAGTTGTAGTTGTATTTCAATTCTCTTTCTCCTACTCATATGTCCTACTAAAGTGTCAATAGTTGCGAAGTCGCTTAATGAAGCTCGCTATAAACATACGAAACATTTGAACAATGCTACCTTTGGTTATTTTGAGCTGCACCAGATGCATACACGTCCTGGCGTCTTCTATTGAGCAGTGACCATTTGAATTGTCTTGAATTTTCTCTCTGGGAACATGAAGTATTTCATTGAATAATGTTCCTCTGTAGGACACGTAGCACAACAACAGTCATCCAGTGATTGAAATGTTCCATTGTCTTTTCATTGTTTTCAAAATCCCACTGTTCTCCAGCCCATCCAGTCATGATCCAGTGACCAGAATGTTCCATTGTCTTTTCATTGTTTTGAAAATCCCACTGTTTTCCATGTCATCCAGTTACTCATTGTTTTAAAATATTTATGACGTTATGCAAACGGCCTATTCTTCACACTTTGTCAATATCACTTATAGAGGAACCTACGTTAACTTACTCTAAATATTTCTTTGCCAGATACTTTAAACTTGGTTTGAAACCCATTCCACGACTGTCTCCATAAATTACTGAAGTGTCTATGACTTTATTGTGGAAAAACTAGAGACAAATAAGAATTACAGTATTTCCAAATCAACCCATTACTTAATATAGATTTTACTAAGCTCTATCGTGCAGCAGATGGTCGTCAACCTGCAGTTATCAGAGTGAGAAAATAATTTGACTTCGTTTCATTCTATGTAGTAGTCTTGACTCTTGTATTTGGATGGTGGCAAATATATAAGATTGACAGATGTAGTATTCATTTTCTTGCTGCTACTGTATATAAGCATCAACATTTCGACCAGCATCGGAAAACGTCAGATAATTTTACTCAGCAATGAAAGAGAGTTCTACTTACCTGAAGCGAGGCGAAGTCGAACTCGAGAGAATGTCCAACCAAAATAGCATCAGGAGGAATAATTTCTTTTAATTTTTCTTGAACATCTTTTAAAGTCGTTGTAACGTTACAAAGGTCGTGCTCTGTTATACCACTGAATCTAAAGAGTACAGCCAATGGTCAAACAAGGTAATTTTTGTTGCTACGCAATTTCTGACATGGAGTCACGTTATCTAAAAGTAGTCACACTGGGAAAAAAAACCCACGATGCATAAGAGAGGACCAACCACTTTGCATGAGTTTTCAAACACATCAAGGTCAACGCAAGTAAGTCACTCAGATTAACATCCTAGCATAAATTGAGAAAACCCTGCCAAAGTCTTGGTGTTCTGTCTTTTCGTATATGACTATGATTAAAATATTCTTGTCATGAATTTTTTCCAGCTTGATCTGTCGTGTGTTAAGTTTTTGTTGAGCAACCAACCTTGTTAAGTAGTCAATGATTGGATTCTCTGGCTTCACTAAAGTGTCATAAATAACTTGATGTGTTGAATCTACCACAGAGATCCGTGTCAATTCTTTACCCCTTGAAGACTGACACTGTAATGAATATAGAGATCATTATTAATTCATCAGCAAAACAAAAGAAATCAGTACCATATTGTTGTTATTTTCATATCATAGTTAACTCAAATTTTGCTTTGAGTACTGGTTTGTTTGTTTGAGAAGTTATACCATACACAAGAAGTTTATTAAAATGCAAAGTGTATAAAAAGTGCTTGACCTAAAGTGACGTTTTTCAACACAACATACATTCAGTGCGATGTATTTCTTATAATCTCACCATTTCACAGTCTAGAGCAAAAATCTGACTTGAACAAGATAGTTCTGCTGTGGAGCTCAGAGGTATTGTAGAAACATTGTCTGCATCTAAAGAAATTGAAAAGGTTACAACAATTGGTGGCCACCAAGGGAAACTGTTGCAGGTCAGCAAATGATGGTCAACTTAAGACAGGGTTCGTACATGCAAGGACTTTTCAAGAACATTCAATGCCATGTATCAGCAAATTCAAGGACTAAATACTGAAGAAAAGGGGTTAGAAATCAGCAAAATATGGCGTTGAATTGTTCAAAACGCAACTTTTACGAAACACAAGTTTCAAACAGCTTTGTCAGATATGAACATGCAAAATCAATTCAACAAAATGATTGCTTTGAATGTCAAACAATTTCAGAAAACATCAAAAAAATAAAGCAAGAAAAATTGAAGGACTTTCAAGTACTTCTTTACAAATTCCAGGACATTCAAGGCCTTGAATTTTTGTTTTCAAACTCAAGAACATTCAAGGACTTTCAAGGTTTGTATGAACCCTGTTCAGAAGAAAGTGAAACCACATCTCTTCATTTTTTGCTGCAAATACTTTAGATTACTGTAAATGATGAAAAGAATTACCTTTGGACAATCCAGGTATGAGAAAATCATTTTTGATAAGCTGATTTTCAGTTAAGACATAATCTTTGGCATGAAGAGTTAAGGCATTTCTTGTGACTGAAAAGAAGTCAAAACATGAAACAAAGAAAATAAACAACTTCAAGAAAAAACAAAAGATCACCTTTTGAAGTTTTTGTGTTCTTCTGAACGACACTCAATAACGAGTGTGCTGGAGACTCAACATACACATGATGACCTTCGTTTGAATATGGAAATACCTAGAAAGGAAACCAACATGAATTTCAAATATCATTCCTTAACCTCACCTCATTATGTTACATTGCACCCTTATTTTACTCTGTCTAATGCCAGACAATTTTACTCGTGAAGGGAAGCTAGCACTAAACAAGCCAGCATATTTTTGTTTTTGCAAAGGACTCTAGTAACATGGACCATTTTGTAAGATATAGGGGGTTTCAGGGCAGGACATACTCTAGGATGTTGCATGGTCGGGGGGGGGCGGCATAGTCCAAACGTGTCTGGGGGACATACATACTCCTATACTGAATATATAATGTCCATTGGGGACTCAACCCAAATGGGGTTAGGGGGACACATATACCTAGAATGCTAGGGGTATGGTATAATATACTCTTAGAATGTCAGGGGCATACCTCTAAAATGGCACCCAGCATGTCCAGGGAGGGGAATATCTCCACCTCTAAGTACATATATATTTTTACCTACCACATCAAACATTTGGCTCAAGTTCAACATACAATCCTCATTGTCTGAAAAGATTTTGGCTGAGACATATTTTAATAAAACAACTGCAATTCTATTGATCTGTGACCTTTCAAAACTTGCCCATTTTGGAAGTGGATTTTCACCAGGCTTTAAAAGACTAGCTAGAAATAATTGCTGAATTTCTTTGATTTTTACAACATTATTCTCCTTTGTCAAACTGCTCATATCAACAGAGAATTGTCCCTAGAAAGGATTTAAAATGAAGAACTTTAGTTTATAATAACATTTTGAGTTTTGAATTGAATTGGGTGTTTCAATTTGAGTTTTAATATTGCTATATATCTGTTGCTATTAAATAATTCAATCCACATGAGATCCTTAGATGCAGCATAAAAGATCTGCATCCATATTAATAATTCCAATAAAAGTAACAGTATTTTGTAACACATAAACATTGTTTATATATTAAAAAACGCGATGTAGTGCAATATCTGAAACAACATCGGCAAATTTTATCATTTTTAGCCTGGCGTACAAAAATATATTTTCCTGGCGTAAAATATGTGGCAGACTTCCTGCAATTATTCCAACCTGGTATACTAGCTAGACCAAACAAGTGAATGTGTGTTTAATAATATCTGTTGCCATCTAATTCACTTACATATATAATAATAATAATCTATTAATAATGGAAACTTTATTAAATGTTTTTCTTTACATATACATATACAATCGTAAATCTCTCTCATAAAGGTAACTTACGGTTGGCTATTTGAATCACAATTATACTAAAATAACAGAGCAAAGTGCATGCAATATATATATATACAATGAGATAAGTCAAATTGTTAGTAAATCCGGATTTTCCCATTCCTTATTTCGGCAACAAAAAATGTAATATGTAGTTCTAATAGCAATAGTCATCATTTTCCTAACGCAGTACATTTGGTGGTTTTTGTCAAGACCAATACCTTCTAACATGTCTAAAAATGTATAACATTCTTCTGCAAAAATACTTAAAGAGCTGATGGAGAGATTTATAAATTTAACTTGGTTAAAATTTTTACCTAGCTGTCTCAATAATTCTCTATATTTATCCTTCTTCCGTTTTACGTTGTTTTTGAGGTTCTTTTTATGATTATAAATAATGGAAACTTTATTGAATGTTTTTCTTTACATACATATACAATCGTAAATCTCTCATAAGGGACCGGTCATTATTTATGGAAGGGGGGGGAGGGGAATTTTTTCTTTTCTAAATTTTTAAAATTGAAAGCCCCCCCCCTAAATGGCAGAAATTTAATGATGACCCCCCCTGCATATTAGAATATTTTTCTTTGACCCCCCCATTTTCATTTTTACTCGTCGAATGCCGAATGGGGATACCCAGGCGTTATAGTGTTAATTATTAAATAAGAATATGGAACTGGCAAGATATTAACATCGACTAAAAATATATATTAGCAGAAAATTATAATTAAAAGAGGAGTATTTTTATATATAACACTAAAATCAGGTTTCCATTTGGTCTGGGCGATTGTAACCATGTTTAAGGCTGCAACTAGACTTGATGGTACGAAGTATTGCCATAGCAGCTGCGCAGCAACAATGAGAGCAGCAATCAGTAATATTAGCAGCAAAAGGAGATAGCAATGACAATTCTGCCAAGGCATACCTGCGAAATACAATGTATAGTGGTCTATACATCCTATTTTATGTGAGATTAAAAATTATATAAAATAAAATGACATATACTAGCTACCAGATAAAATCCTTTAGAATGAACATGGGTGGGTGGGTGGGGAAAAGGTATCGAAGCGCAAAACTTGCTGCAGCTAGGCAAAGCATACAATGGCAGAATGAATACCCAGACCGAAGCACTGATCACAAGGCATGAAACAACCCCCTTTGATCGATATGACGTCACAGACTCCCCTCAGCAGATGTGGCCTGCATAATACATCCGCCGTTAACCTTGCTTAATTTAAATGTATTTAACCACATCAAGAGCTGATGTAATAATACATTGTCAATTTAACTAGTCTGCAATCCGTAAAGACTGATTTGCATACAGCACACACAATACAAGATGAATCCAGACTATTTCACATCAGTGACCATGATTTAGTTGCAACATTTACAACCAAATGGATACTAGGTTATTAAGCAAATTCCTTCAAATTTAATTGCAACACCCCCCCCCCCAATCATTTTCTTGAAAAAATTTAATAGCCCCCCTTCTAGTCATTTATTTCTACATATGGCCCCCCCTTATTTTCTCTCCCCCCCCCTTCCATAAATAATGACCGGTCCCTAAACTCAGTCCGGGCTCAAACTGCTCATGTAATTGTGATGCAATTTCAGCTCATTTTAATAACCCGGCTGAAACTCAGCCCGGGCTGAAAACTCTCCATGTAATCAGCCCCTAAGATTGTACTCAGTCAGAACTGCAAAACTATATAATACGATTGTGAGCATTATCAAAAAATATAGTATACTCTGTCTCTGAGTACTGTAGTGACAGCCAGGTGAATATATAAATGTAGGCTGGTAGGATTATTTCATATTATGCTATTAAACAATGGACATATGACATATCTCAGAGATACATTTTTACAGACCGTCATACCTTTTACAAACGTCGGTTGACATGTTATTTACATGTAACTGCTGGTAAGTTAATATGTGCAGACAACAATCCACACTGGGTTGCTATAGGACTATCTTTGTGCAAGACAGACAATTTTACGATACTGCTCAATGCCTCAATTGATATTGCCAAAATAACAATAACAATAATAAACTCTCTCTGTGATTATTTATCCCTTAGAAGTACGATGTTCCATCAAGCCTACGATCAAGCTCAATCAGATTTTTTACAAACTGATATAAAATATCGACGAAGTCCACTTGTTTACTATGAAGACTTGTATGCACCTAAAAATGTAATAATTTAAATACAGTTAATTCATTCGCTTCAAGTTTCAACGCGTATCGACCAATACACATTGTTATTTGTGATCAAACTTTCATCTTACCTTGAAAACCATTTTATTTAACAGTCAGAGTCCATTTGCGAATTGCGATGAGACTATGCCATTATACAGAGGCCATTATGCGCACATGTAACGTGTTTACAAATTGTCATTGTCCATGGTGGTGTTCGCGAAGTTCAACCGGGATATTCGGAAAGTCAAATCGCGATCTGGAGTATGTTATTTTTTTAAATTTCTGTGACGTCAAAATACGTCATAAATCTGATCATCCGTACATTCGTACATGCAAATAAAATCGAGTTGTCGCTCGGCTATACATAACTCGGCCAACCGGAAACGGACTGGTGCGAGAAAAACACATCGTCAAGAATAGGTGGCTGCCTACGGCAGCAATAAATGCGGCCATGTTTGTTTTGAAAAAAAAAAGAAGATTTTGCCGCCAAAATGTAGCTCAATTTTGATTGGTTCATAGTGATAACAGAAAATTGCACCGTGATTACAGAAAATTGCACTGTGATTACAGAAAATTGCACTGTGATTACAGAAAATTGCACTGTGATTACAGAAAATTGCACTGTGATTACAGAAATTTGCACTGTGATTACAGATTTTTGCACTGTTGTTTGGGATTAACTGCACTGAAATCAACCAATCACAATCGAGTAATACTTTTATGCATACTATTAACTGTTATAAAACACTATAAAATATTAAATTTGTTATTTTGTTCCTGCAGCACTAGTACCACTCTCCAATTATAACACGCGTCCACACCATTAATATTGGATGCCACATCGTGGGCTGTATAAATAAAACCATAGATATAAAACCTAAAATACAAGATAAACATATAATTGAGCTAATTTATAAACGTAAAACTGCTCCTGAATAAAAAGGAACAAAAATATAACGATAAAAGCTTTGAAGTGGTGTTTTTTACGCTGTATTAGTTAGATGGTCGCAACGGTGGTTATATATACCATTTTCCGGTAGCAAAACATACCACAAGCTAAAGATCCGCCATCTTGAAACGTCATTGTTGTCATAGCAACGGCAGTTGCGTAACGTTTGTGCGTACTTTAAAGGGATAGGGCAATATATTTTTTATTATTTCATTTTAAAGAACTTTTAAAATTATATGTTAATCTCCTTTACCGATTTTACGTAACTTTATTATTTCTTGAAATATTTTGACTTAAAATAATTTGCTGTCCGCCATCTTGGATTAATTTTTATCTCAATGTCGGTGATTTTAGTGACGTCATACAGCAGGGTTAGCCAGATAAAACTACATCTAAATGACCAAATAACATTAAGTCTTGTTTGAAAAGTCACCAGACAGTTTTTTATTTCAAATAGTTACTGAAGTATATGATTTTTGGGCTCGATCATAATAACCAATTGCTCTATGGATAAAATTCTTGCGTGACCCTGCTTATGATGTCACATGCATATCTGCCAAAATCCAAGATGGCGGAAAGCTCGCTGATTTGTGATTTTTTCTGTTCAAATATCTCAAGAAATAATAAAGTTACGCTAAATCGGTAAAAGAGATTAACATATAATTTTAAAAGTTCTTCCAAATGAAATAATAAAAAAAATATTGCCGTATCCCTAATCTGCGTAATTTAATCTTGTCCTTTACTTTGTAGTTAGCTTTCTTCACTCTAACAAGATCTCTACATCTAAAGCTAAACGTGATTGATATACAGCCGGTCCAAATGGTAGTTAAGCAAGTCTATATAAGATTCAACAACCAAACTAAAAGTTTTAAACCTTAATAGAACGATAATGTTCACAACCACATATTCAGTGCACAATATTTAAATTGACTAATTAACGAGAAATATGAGAGTGTTATTTAATTTTGACTTATCCACCGATTTAGTTAATTAAATGGGCTTGATTCAATCGGTTCCCAATCTCTTTTGTATATAACTTCCCTGGCTTCATTCCTGCTCTTTTCAAAATATTTAATGATACTTAGGAGCCAATATTGATTTTCGCCATAACATTATTTCATCAATTGCAAGATGCAGTGTGTTACTATTTCCGACAAACACACCCTTTGGAAGATTATACCGAATGGCTGCATTTTAGAGACTCATTCTGGTTTTGAGTCTTCCCATAAAAACATTTATCAAGCAAACTATCGTTACTTAACCTGGCAACGATTGATTTGACCTCCCTGATCATCGGTCACGGGAGACCAGGACCTGTTTTGTACTTATTTGTATACCGTTGGCTTTGTTGCGAGGCTTTAGGCTTGGGTGGTGGAGGCATGTCCATTAAGCAACAAAATTTCGTGTCAGATTCTGCTCCTTCGCTAATATAATAGCACTCATTCTATAAACAATTTTCCTGTTTACTTCATGATAATTTTTAATTTTTGTCGAAGTGTTGAAAGAGTGTTGCCACCCACATGAAGAGCAGCGTAGATGTAGCAGTGAGGACTGAGGAGCAACATTTTCTGTCAGATACGTTCTCAGTGATACAGACAAGTAACGCACAAGGAACAACGGAATAGAGAAGTACAAAAAAATGCCAAAAGGAAAAAGTACGACTAACAATGCCAAATTTGATTTAAAAAATAGGGAAAAAAAGAACAACAAACTAATTAACAAAAAAAGTACACAAATCAAGAAGGTTAAATTTTAAAAAACCAAACTGAACTATCATAATAACAATTACATACTTGTTTGGAAGGTGGAACCATGTTATAATAAGTGCATCCTTTGATAGTATCCAATGTTGATTGAAATTGACTGGATGACAATAATTGACATTCTGTTTCATTACACATTTGAAACGAGATACATAGACAGTCTTTAAGACAAGCCAGAAAACAATGCATCATAGTTTTCATAGTTAAATTACGGAATGCGGAACCAGTCAGCGCCTTTCCTTCCAAAGCTTTGTTCACTTCAATCATGTACTGTGAGTTGACCAAAACTTCGAAACCACCTGTTATCATAACGACAGCAACGGCTGCGAATATCTTCAATCTTGTATTATTCCTAGAATATTAAAAAACAAACTAAAACCTTTAAATTAAATAAAGTATCTTGGACCCTGTTCAAAAATATTGATCTCGCCTAGGCGAGATCCATTTCCCTACTCTCTCTTTTATTCAGAGACAGTCGTCCTTACAGGCGATTTGTCATGTAAACAGTCACCTTAGAAAACCGTTAAGTTCCTCTAGCCAGAATCACGCTCTTGCCGAGAGCTTTGGTGGTGGCAAAGGCCCTTACAATAACAGGTCCGAAATGTATACTGCATGTTTTTCTCAATCATTTAAAACATTCTTTGAAACGATTTTTTATTCTGGGCAACTAAAGATCACCAGAAAGAGTAGATTTACTCCATGCACGCAAATGAAATTTACTCCATGCATGCACGCTGTAAATCGCAAAATCAAAGAATACAGTAAGTCAGTTAAGAATTGAGTTTCGTTTAATTATGTGGCTTATACTAAAACAATTAGACTACTTAGCCTCGTTGTCTCTGGCAACTCGGCTTCGCCTCGTTGACTATTCGCTCATAGACAACTCGGCTTCGTTGTCTAATTGTTATATAGTAATTGAGAAAGGTGGACATGATGGGAAAACAAAATTGCACCTCCATGCAGCTTTTACAATCTAACCTTCTCGTTGTGATTTTGGATTTTATTCCAGGATTTTATTGGAATTCGGACATTGATATACACAAATTGCATATAAAATATTACAGAAAAATAAATACTATATAGATTACATTAAAAGCGCTGTTATGAAAGTAACAGTTGTGCACCGTGACCAAAGTTGCCTATTAGGCTTTTGAGTTGACCACTGCCAATAACTTAGTTACCAAGATCGAGAAAGAGCTTGAGGTATTTAATCTTGTGAAAAAAAGTAAAAAGTGCGCATATTTTCTTTGAAAACTTGTTACTGAAGTTGCAAGTTTAATAATCTGGTGTTGCAAGTTTGTAATAATCTGTTGTTTTCAATTTGTGGAAAAATATAAATAAAAGTATAAATCCAAATTGATAATCGTAAATGATTTTCCGCTTTGTTAGAAAACTTTGCAATTGGTTATATACTAAGCCAATATTCTTACAAAGGGTGATAGAATCGATACACGTCCCTATAGTTATTTGGATCCGTCGCCGCTCCACTCTCAAAGATTGATGTGATGCTAGCTATTTCCAGAATATCATGGGGAAGCGGGTGTTAAAAATGGAAATGCGGCACCAACTTCATTCACTGTCGCAACGGCTAAGAAATTCTTCAGAAATAGTTACTGCGAAAATTGTGTGTGTTATCCAAGAGGAGAATCCTGATCTGGCCTGCTTTACCGAAACATGGCTACACGATCATCTCCTTGTCCCTGGATATAATTTTATCTTTTAAAACCGTGTCTCCCAATCACACGGGGGCGTGTGTCTATACGTCAGGTCCACAATTCCTTGTAAACGATTACCTGAATTGGAAGAACGTGAAATGGAGGTGCTATGGTCTCATATTAGGCCTACAAGATTGCCTGGTGGTACTCCTTGTATTATCGTGGGTATCATATATCACCCACCTAGTTCTGACGACAAAGTCATGTTACGTTACTGAACAACAACATTCATCTCTGTAGAAAGCCTCTATCCTGGATGTGGCATTCTCCTGGCTGGCGATTTTAACCAACTGAAGATTCGCCGCCTCTTAACCCAATTTAAAATGAAACAACTAGTCCACACCCCTACCAGAGGTAACAACATCTTGGACCTCATAATCACCAACATGTACCAGATTTATGATCACAATTCTGTTCACTCCATCCCTCCTTTCGGTCTCTCGGACCACAATGGTGTCCTTCTTCGTCCCAAAGTGCGGTACCCTAACTCCAATTCTAGCAGGAAAATCCTGATGGGACGCGACACCCGCCAAGTAGAAAACACGAACTCGGTAGGTACCTAAGTTCCATCCATTTGCCGTTCCTCGAAGATGTTGAAAGCTGTGAAGTCAAGTTACAACTTCTTGTTGATTTAATTACCGTTGCCGTTGACAATCATGCCTCTAAAGCGAATAAAACTTCATGTAAATGATCCCCCATGTGTTACCTCTGACTTTGCAAGAACTAATCAAATCTCGCCAGCAAGCCTTTTCAAACGGGGAAATGGAAAACTATCGTCATTACCGAAACCTTGTCAATCGAAAAAGGAAAACACTCCAAAGCAGGTACTTCGCTTCTAAGATCCAGCATCTTAAGCAAACAAAACCAAGTCAGTGGTGGAACCACTGAGCTATACTATATTACTGGAGGACCTGCACGGGAAAAAAAAGTGAAGCCAAAAACATGGCGGATTTCGGGCTTTGCTGACGCCATTTCCATGACAACTGGTCCATATTTCTCATGGTAATTACCACTGACCAGGCTCGGATCTGAGTCCGCTACAATTTCCACACCCCCCTGGTTTTCTTTAAAAAACTTTTAATAGGTTTTTGTAATTTTGCTCGGGTTTTGTAGTATTTTCTCGATATTTGAATAGATTTTTAAAATGTTTTCGAGATATTTTTTCTAAACTTGATGTGCAAGTCCTACGTGTTATTCTTCCCGAGAAAGACAACAAAATTCAAACGTCGCTGTCCTCGCAAAATGTGAGCAAAGCCAAAGAGGATATTAATTATTTGAACCAGCGTGCTATAAACAGGTATTTCATTCAATTTTATTTATGCTTTATTTGATCTCACATAAAATTGGTAGGCTTAACTTAAGCTTGACAATGAAATGCACTCTTTTTGTTAAGAAAACAGCCTTTTGTTGGTTTTTTTTTGTGTACTATTAAAATTTGGCAATCTGTTATCTGTATATTTCAAAATTTGGTTGCAGAAACGTACTACAACTTTTTGTTATATATACTGTACTTTAGAAAATGGTATTACGGTAACTCCAGACGTTCCTTCAAAACAAGCGGTATGTCAGGTATGTGTTTAAATATATTCAGGTATAAATATATAAATTTATTTGAATATATTCATTTTTTGTATTTAAATATATTCTTTTCGCAACGAAACTTTGGAATATTACTAATTTTGTGATGCTCTTTCAAGCTGTGATGAAATTTTTGTCTAGATCAAAATTTAGTCTATCATAATGCAAATGGTCCATTGAACTGCAATGCGCCCCACTGGGGAAGCTCTGCAGCCAGGACCATACACAGCGGGGAAGCAAGGAAGGCAACTGCCCCCCAGAGAAAACTATATTCACGATTTTTAGAATGTCATTAATTATTCTTTGGATATTTAGGACTTTTTCGGCATATAGGCCTTACTCCCCCCCCCCCGTGAAAAAATCCTGCTTACGGCCCTGTCTGCAGCTTAATGGGTTTAACAATTTGGAACACCAGATATACTGGATGCATGGCAATCTGGCAATTAGTAACTACTGTATGTTGCTTCCCTTGCACTGGGAAGGTACCTTGTGTCCTGGCCACTTTTGATTATTATACCATTAAACCTGATAATTGCACCAATGGTTCTGGTGTCTCTGGTTTGGAGTTGAGTCACATTGTTTTGTTTTTCCCATCATCATTTTTGTGCTCAAAGTTACAACATATAATATATTTTTGTTTATGCCAGAATTATCTCACAATTGTCATATCATAATTTGGCATTTGTCCTGACTCACTCTGGTTTCCCAATTAACCCATAGAGTGGCTCTGACATTGACAAGTAAAAGTAGAGCAGGCAAAATACAGTACCAAGCAAAATGTATGGAAATTGAAGACACAAAAGCTGGATTAATTTTGAACTATTTTATTTGAATTTCTTCAATACAGTAGAATTATTAACAGTGAATAATTTTAAATTAACACTAAAATTATTGTAATTAATTAAGTGTACATGATGTAATGGAGCATGTGTAATAGTCTTAATTAACATTAACTTACGGTAATAAAGGTTTATACTTTTATGTTATCATCACCATAACCTATAGACAGATTTTCAAGTTTTGCTTGGGGCGGGGAGGGGTGCAGAAAATTTCAGGGGTGGAAAGTGAGCACATGGTGTGCTGAGTACGATGCACAGGGTCTACCGGGGTCTACCATGGGCGTGCCCCCCCCCCTCCAGTTTGTTGGGCAAACAAAGCCAGTTGGGCAGTATTGGCTTATTATAAAAATAAATGGGACAAATTCTGTCAATTTTGTGGGAAATATGCTATCTAATAGGAATTTTTCGTAGCATCTCCCCCCCGCTGTTGACAGCAATTTTGGAAAGTTTCTCTGGAAAAATTTTTTTGACAACTCGGGCACAATCCGAAAAAGTCAGGCAAATTTCTTTCCGCCCCCCTATTTTTTCCTTCCTGTATGCCCATACTGAGGGTACAGTCACTAGTGGGGACAGAGTTGGGATAAGGTTGGGATAAGGTTGGCAACGACCCCCAGGATATTTCGAGATTTTTGGCCTTGTTTTAAGTCTTATTTAGTTCTTATTTAGTTCAATTATACTGCTGTTATTTAATGAAACCAGCATTTAAATTTCTGGGGTGGGTGCAAATATCTCTAGGTGGAGTGGGAAAACTTTCTGAGGTGGTGAAAATATTTTCGGGGGTGCACACCACTTGCATCCCCCCCCCAAAAAATCCATCTATGATTACCATCAGATAATTAAATTAACTAAAAACACTGCCAAAACCAGGGGGGTGAAAACGTCGTCTGAAGCTCAGGATCGCGGTTGGTCAGTGGCAATTCTGTGAGAATTACGGACCAGTTGTCATGGAAATGGCGTGAGCAAAAGTCAAAATCCGCCATTTTTTTGGCTTCACTTTGTTGATCAGACGAAGTATAGGAGCAGGTCCTCCAGTTATTAAACAGCTCAGTGGGTGGAACGCAGTTAAACGTATTGCTGGAATGACAACACCTTGTGGCTCTGAGTCTCAAATTTCAGGTATTGATTCACTTTCTCCGCACGAAATTGCCACCATGATTAATTCGGCTTTTTTAGAACC